GTCGGTATGGGAAAACAAAATATTTGTTTAATTGTTCAAAGTTCAAAGTCAATGTCATATGATTATAGGCAAGGAAGATAAGAAATTAGATATAAAGAGTAGCCACTTTAAATGACAGAATTTCTTTTAGTTAAATTTGCTCATGATTTGGTCTTTTTCGTGGAACATAGTGCCAAAATACTCTTAATTATTTACTTTCATGTCATTACTAATCTCACATAAGGTCAAAAGTTGTACAACGTTTAACAGATATGATTATGACATGTTGTATCCAAATATTTCCAAACATTTCCAAACAAATCCAAACAAATCCAAGCTTGGAAATATGACCTTTCCAAATATTGGAATGGTCATATTTCCAATTGGAATGGTGGTATTTCCAAGTTTTGGATTTTTTGGAATGGATGATATTTTGTCCAGTGTTAACTGTAAATGTTGGTTGTCACTGCAGTTGGTGAGATTGTGCTTATTGCTTGTTTTTAATAGGCTTCGTTAAAATAACCAGTTTGTTTTTGCAAGTAAGTAGGCCAATTAAAAGTAATCTGTAATGCATTTGAAGTGTGTGTGCTTTATATTTTACTGTTTCACGGTTTATTGTCATTGATATGTTCACTGAGCAGAGCTGTCTAGTCTCATAGCTAAATTCATCCGAGTTGTTTTTACTGAAATTAACGGTTATATTATATAAGGCACATGATCAGAGCTCACGTATATGTTCATGGAGGTGACAAGGACAACTGATGACAGGGACGTCCCCTGATTCAATGATGGAGATCTCAAGGAGATCCTATCCTTCTCCAGCCTGGAACAGCTGGATGGAACCATCACATCTGTCACCTACTTACTTGTCTTCGTCCTGCTTCCTGATCACTAGGCCACATCCTACACCAGGCTGTTGAACAGACTGAAAGCTGACATCAACAAAGACCACATCGACCCTTGCCTCCTTGAAGATCCAGACTTTAATTTGCTGCCATTCGAGCCGTTCAGACAGAATTCCCTCAGGCTGAAGTAAAGGGATGCTCCTTCCACTTCACTCAAGCTATCTGGAGGAAGACCTTAGACCTTGTATTGACTGTTCTATACCGAGCAGACCCCCAAGTGAAGAGTTGGATCCGGAGAGCAGGTGGTTTGGCCCTTCTCCCACTAGGCATGGTTCAACAGTTGTGGCTGGACAACATACCATCTCAGTCCATATGCAACTGGTTGACAAATGATGTCATGTCAATAAAGAATACTCTTCCCTCTTTTACATGTCTATGGCGGTCGGGTGGCCTAGTGGTTAAAGCGTTCGCTCTTCACGCCAAAGACCCGGGTTCAATTCCCGACATGGATACAATGTGTGAAGCCCATTTCTGGTGCCCCCTGCTGTGATATTGCTGGAATATTTCTACAAAAGCAGCGTTAACACATACTCCCTCGTTTACACAGTTTTACATGTCTGTCACTGAAAGTCTTTCGTCATCACGGTACAAAAGTACTGACAGAAATGTTGGACAAAGTCCCTGCAGAACAAGATGATGATGGCGGGTGCGACTCTTTCGATTGTGCCGTGCTGCGTGATCAACCCACAGCTATGGATGAAGCCGATTACTCAGTGACTCGGGATGAAGAAACATCAAAGATAAGACTCATTAGGTCAGATAGGACTCCACTCAAGTATGACTGTTCAGACCAGAACATCAACATAAGGTCATGTTGTACACACGTACACATACAAGTGTATGATTTATCCATTGTTTTAGGGGTTGGGAAGAAGACACAAAATATTTCGTGAACACCACTTCCTAGCTTGTCGTCCCAACCACAGCCAAAAAAGTGTAGGTTTCTGTTCTCCGGAAATCTTCCGGGTACCTAACCACTTTGGATCCGGCCCGCATACCTTACAAAAAAATGTCAAAATTTTGGGGGTGCATTTTGTTCAATTAAGTGTAAAACACATACAATTATTTCTGAAAATTACCAAGAAAATTGAAGGTTGCTGAAGGTATCTTGAAGTTTTCCGGATGCAATTTTTCTTCATGTCTTGTTTCTGGTGAATAGCGTTAGTCTGTGCATATCAGATAGCTTTAGTAATATTCATTGTTATATTAGTTGTAAATATCCTCCTAAAACTGAGATCTATGGACATGCATTTTTCAATTTCATACATTGTTCTTTTCAAATATTAAGCGTATTTAACGAACAAACATCAGTTCTCGTAAAATGATATCCTTAAATGTCATGTTCGGACTTCTAGTTTGTACTGAGAAAAAAGTTAAAAGTCATCGACAATGTGCTCATTTGGTCCTTTGGTCCTTGTGAGAAGACAATAAGATTATTTGTATCGGCACACGTACTTGTTATATCAAAACATACTACGTCATTAAAGTTTGCCCCACCCTAGTTTCATCGTACTCAGTTACTGTGAATTCTTTTACTGAAAGAGATTGAAAGTTTAACACTGTGAGTTGTGTGAGACTATTTCCCACGGGCATTTTGTGAGCCCTAACAACTGCACTGGATAGTCGTGCAACTGCAATGCATAATTGACCAGCTCAGCAGAATAATAATTGGTCAGCTGGCGTACTTATATAAGCAGTATAATTGCTGTCATAGCAAATGTCAAGTACTTATATAAACATCAAACTTGGTGACATAGCGACTGTCAAGTTGATCATAAGTGACTAGCTCAGCAGAATGATGATCGGGCAGCTGCCTTTAAAAGCAGCAGGTTGTGTTAACAATGGAGAACCGGCAAACCATCGGAGGAGCGCAGTCACAGTAGTAGAGAGGAAAACCAGGGACAAGGATAGACCAGAACTGACCAGCCAGTCCAGCCCTCAGCTGCCCAAGTGTCAACGTGACTTCCTCGTCTTCCTATGTTCGACTCTATAACTACTCGTCCGGTTCTGTAGTTCTACTGAGTTTTTAAAAAAACAAAAACATTCTTTGCCACCACCACGACTTGTCGTTCTAACTGCTCGGAGGTGTCAGTTGTAACCGCTGCTCATATATGTGTATTCAAATAATATAACAACTGCATGCTTAATACAAATGTCACCAGAAATAAGCAGTTTAGTTACGAGTTCTGGAGAATTATGTATAAAGATTTTAGCTATCAAAAATAATTGTTGCCACATGTACTTACACATAGAAGGCAGCCAAATCACAAATCAAGATTATGTGTGTGTCTTGTTAGATGCCAAACATTTAATATATATATTTTTTCCATGTTGATGAGTTGAAACAATCCTTAAATCTCTTAAAAACATTCCCAGCAACATATGCTTGTTATACTAGCCAAATTAATAGATCAGGTAGTTAGTAGGCTCGTTGATCGCACCCAATCATACCACAGTGATGTGGGATAGTGTCCATCACAGTTATCATCGGTTTGTCTGGATTGAGTTCATAACATTAATCACTGGTTTGTCTGGTCGAGATTTGAGAGGTGATTATTTACAATCCTTGTCATAAAGTCAAATTATTGCTGGATGCGGTGTTAAATGAGTGAGTTGGGTTTCACACTGCTTTGAACAGTATTCGAGTTATATCACAGCCTGTCAGCTTGATGTGGGAAGAACGCCCAGAGTGATGCAGGTATTTCATGAAAACCACGAGCATGATTATAACGCTGACAAAACTAGAAACATAATCGGTGCGAACCTGGATTTGAACCCATGACCATAGGTTTCTGCCAAATCAAAGAGATGCAACTGTACACATCAATTTGTGGTGCCTTAGATAAAAGGGGCACAAACTGAAGAAATATTTGCAAAATAGCCATATGCACCAAACAGAATCATTTCTGAATATTTATCACTCACTGTTGCACTTCTCTTGTTACTCATTGCTTCTCTTCTATGGTCTTCTTTCTTTCCACTGATGCGGCGCAGATGACCGTCTCTTTTATTCATCCAGACATTCTACAAACATAAGTAGCATTCACATCACAGAAATGTCCAAACTGTATATGTTGTACATTTGATTCAAATGAAAAGTCCCCAGTCCTGATTCCCGACTTAGAATTGCCCTTATTAAAATATTTCATGCAGAAACATTCAGAGATAACATTTATCCCCATAATTAATAAATGTCAAAACAATATTTTGACAACGCAGACGGGGTCATTCAACACATACATTACATAGGGAATCACTTCGACGATGCAGAAACATTCTTACAAAGGTAAATTTTCTTGAAATGCAGATTAATGCAATGCAGTATTTACTTTTAGTTCTAGGTTGTTTGTTTGGCTTTTCCATGGCACTGTTTTGACAGAGATCTAACCTTACTATGACAATATGTTCAGAAAGGATATGGATAAGATGATACTTTATTATTCTCAAGGAAATTTAGGTTACCTTGTGAAAGCACAGAAAAACAAGTAACAGATTCATGATTTAAGTTTAAATATTGCTGAAATATTGCTAAAAGAGGCGTAAAACCTCACTCACTCACTGACTCACAATATAATACGCTTGTTTGTGCCACAACACAATAGCAATCTAACCTGGAGTTCGTTTAACAGTTGCCCAAATAAGTCTGGAGCACAATCGAAGTTAATTCAACTTTGCATCGTTTAAAATTTACAATTGGCCCGAAAACTTCGAAAATGTGAAAAATGGATACATTAAAAAAATATTATCATATATGTTGCATATGATCAACTGCTTGAAAAACACATTCGTGATAAGTGATGTCTGCAAGGCAAGTTCTTTGAACAATGAAATTATAGCCAATACTGCATGATAGTACAAACATTATATATGGACAATTTGGATATCAAAGAGGTAATGTGTGAGGTATCTGAAGCTACTAGCGGTAATTAGTGTGTTCTGAGATGAAAAAAATATATATACAGATAACAAGATAACCTTTTCCACGCTCCATTGACGGTGATATTAAACACAATTACCGTCAGTGTAGGGAGAGCGAAGCTTTGGAGATAATTGGTGTATTCTGAGGTAATAACACAAGGTCACAATATCATATTTACAGAGATAGTGGATCATATCTGTCTCAGGCCAGATTCATTTTGTTCTGCCTGTATTGTATTTTCTGACGTCTGTGTTTTGAAGTCGGTATATTATATTTGAAAGGGAAGACGATATAGGGATAAGGACTGGCTATGTACTTTGGTGTGCTAACTGTATTGGGCTTGCTGTGCTTCAAGGTAAGTGTGCTACAGAGGTTTTTGTCCTCATTTCACTAGGTCTCGAATGTCTCTCAATCTTTCTGTTATTTAATTGTCTGAACATACGGATAATTGCATCTCTTCATGTCGATTCCTTGATCTACTTATTGCCCTCACTCACTCACTCACTCACTCACTCACTCACTCACTCACTCACTCACGCACGCACTGGCTCACTCACTCACTAACCCCCCACCAACGCACGCACGCACGCACGCACTCACTCACTCACTCACTCACTCACTCACTCACATCAACTGTGTAACACTGTTATTCTATGCGACCGGGTGTTATCAGCTGACTTTCACTGTCTGCTTCAGTTCAGAGTATAGGCGGGTGTGAACAATCACGCAGAAAGACATTTCACAAATGAACTTGTACGTCATTCCATAGACGTCACATAAATAATGGTGTGTGGTATTCCATATTCCATTTGAAAAACCAAAACAATTCAAACTGTTACGTATGTTTTTTTTATTCTCCAAAAATCAAGGTTATAAACACACAATGATAATAAAGTAAACTATTCAGCAAATGTTGTTTCTGTGAGAGGAAGAAGGATGTACGTTTTAGTGGCTGCTGTAGTTCTTGGTTCAGGTCATACAAGTAGTCGGGTATGGACACCCACGCATTAAGACAAGTTGAACTTTATCTTGTACTTTAAGTTGTAGTATTATTCCACTTAGACATTCAGACGCATCGAATGTAAACATCAAATAAAAGGAACAAAACCCGTCACATATTCGGGGCGGTGGGGTAGCCGGGTGGTTAAGGCTTCGGCTCGTCAAACCCCGGGTTCGATTCCCCACATGGGTACAATGTGTGAAGCCCATTTTCCGGTTTTGCTTGAACATTGCTGAAAGCGGCGTAAAACCATACTCACTCGCTCCTTTCCATATTCATAAGAAATCTCTGCTAAAAGCGCGTCGATTGTTTGATTCCGACTATAGCATGAGCATGTGGCTTTTTCATTTTGTCGCTATGATGGACATCAGACAGCATTCCGCCATGACAGGTCCGGCAAACTCCGCGATAGAAGGCTAATTACTCTGGCCGGCGGACTGACCGATTTCCGCAAAAGGCGATCACTGATACTGGAAAAAATATGGAGTGGGGTGGGGGGTGGGGGGCAAGTGTTTTGCCCCCTACCCCATTTATCATGACCCACCTCATACATGTAACAGTTGTTTTCATTGACCCAACTATCATAAATGACCAGTACCATCTATAAGGTTTGTTTGTTTAACAAAACGGACTGTGTCATGTTTCCTAACACACCCTAATTAGCCACGCCGTGCTTCAACTGTACAGACATGGCTCGGGTATATTGTTATAGCTCCTGATGGTGTCATGGTTGACAACGGCCCATAGCACAACAAGTAGCAGTAACACAGAAACACAAGTTTAACGTAGGACTATCAACGAGTACTTGGGAGGTGAAAAGGTATTTTCCTTTGCGATCGGGATTTGAACGTCATTTGTAGTGCGCGAAGGCATAAAAGGTGAAGAGAATGTTACCACGAATACTCTGCATAAACATTAAGACAGCTTCCCGATAAATCGCAAAAAAAATTGACGAATAAAACGTGGTATATTTCATGATAAAACGTTGTTCTGTCATTTCTGGAGATTCGAACATACGCTCGCAACATGATGACGTCGCATATTGGAGGACGTCAATGTTTTAAGGAATGTGTCTAGTTGTTCCCCAGGATGTAGCTGGGCTACACAGGTAATGTCAATGGTCGCACGATCGCGTCCTAAAGTGGGCGAGATAAGACAATCGGTTTGGGAGAAACGGTACAGATAATCGACGTCACAGTTCTGAGAATATCTGGTAAATACCAAACTTCACTCCCATGATCAAACTGTGTCCAAGGAGTCATCATTATTTAAACAGGGGTAAATATTTTCAAAACTGGTACATCTTTTTAACGTCTTAGGTTCGTGGTCGTTGGTTATCGTACAATGAAACACTACAGGTAGAATAATCCCCCACCTATTGGAAGATTATATATAGATCTGATATTATTTAGACCATAGTCCTTTCAACAAACCATAGTGCACTGGAGTTATGCAAATGATGTAATTTTCCTTTAAGCTTTTATGTTTTGAACATCTCTATAGAGGTTGTAGATAATGTTGATATTTGATATACAAACTAAACGACTCGTGGTCGGTGGTTATCTCACAATAAAACAATACAGGGAGAATAAACCACTACGAGAGAGAGAGAGAGAGAGAGAGAGAGAGAGAGAGAGAGAGAGAGAGAGAGAGAGAGAGATTTTTTTATTTAGACCATATTCTTTTCAACAAAACATTGCGCACTGGATGTAGAGTTTAGAATACAATATTAACAAAATACATACATTGTACCTCTTCTCTGTACACAGACAGGCATTTACAGTCAACCTCGTTTCACATGCAGCACGTTTGCTAGTTTGTTTCTTTGTTCGTTTGTTTGTTTGTTGTTTGCTGAAAGAGTAGATAATGGAACCCAGGTTAGAATAAATCTTCAGCAACCCATGCTTGCCGTTGTTGATGCATGTCACCCTATCCCTATTGCGTAGATCGATGCTCATGATGTCAATCACTTGATTGTCTGATAAACACTCAGTTATTTACAGACCGCTGCCATGTAGCTGGACTATTGCTCAGTGCAGCAATAAACAACAAAACCAAACAAAAGATAATGGAACACAAGAAGCAGAGTAACACAAGCGAATTATGAGACATATCCATAAATTCTAAGGCTATATAATGTTATATACTAGCATTTACCGAATAGGACCTATAGTTTACGTACTAGCATGTATATAATACTAGCTTACACACCAATAAATAAACACACATGACTACCATGAGTAAACGTGGTAAGAAATTCCGCTGCAGTGGGCAAGTTTGTTTGTTTGTTTGTTTGTTGTTTAACGCCGCACTCAGCAATAAACCTGCTATATGACGGCGGTCTGTAAAGAATCGAGACTGGACCAGACAATCCAGTGATTGACATCATACGCATCGATCCACGCAATTGGGATCGACGACATGCATCAACCAAATCAGCCAGCTTGACCACCCGATCCTCTTAGTCGCCTCTTACCACAAGCATAGTCGCCTTTTCTGGCTAGAACGGGTTGCTTAAGACCTCTTCACGGGGGAAAGACAAGCAGGGATTGCTAAAGACCTACCGGATCTTCATGGGGTAAGACAAGCATGGGTTCCTGAAGACCTAATCTACCCCGGATCTTCACGGGGGAAAGACAAGCATGGGATGCTGAAGACCTACTCCACCCCGAATATTCACGGCGGAAGACAAGTATGGGTTGCTGAAACCCAATCTACCCCAGACCTTCACGGGGGGAAGATAAGCATGGGGTGCTGAAGACCTATGCTACTCCGGACCTTCACGGGGGGAAGATAAGCATGGGGTGCTGAAGACCTATGCTACTCCGGATCTTCACGGGGGGAAGATAAGCATGGGTTGCTGAAGCCCTATTCTACCCCGGATCTTCAAATCTTGAAATAACAAAAAAATAGAGCTGGAAAATGAACAGGAGGCTTTGAAGTTACAAACCAATTATTACCAAAATAGTTAGTCGAAATCAGGAATTGCATCGGTCATCATTTTTGTCACTGATGCGTCAAATTTTGAAATGTCCCCCACATGTCTATCTAAACCGTTTGAAACCGAGGCCCTAAATGTAGCCTTGCTTTAACAACGTTTGAGCTAGCGTTATATGACGCTGTTTGAAATGATGATAGAAAGAGCATGCTCGATTGTACCTAGACACCAAAGGTTGGGCCTGCTGGAGTATTGCTCGACATAAAGGGAAAGTTGACTGTTGAAAAGTTGAAGTCATCCACCCCTCTTGTCTCGTGGAGTGTGTTTAGTCACTCTGAATCTTCACGAATAGATCTAAATATGAAAACTATGAGGCGACCTCACTGGTCTCCTTAAGTGCCAGTTCAGGTGGGTAAATCTGTGGAAGGAAATTGGCTTTTTTACCGTAATTAAAAAAATCAGACCACCAATACACCAGAAACTAAATCTTCTTGGCCAAAACACCCTTTTTTGACTTTGCCCAACCGAGCAGGAATTCTGATTCCTATGCATATTGATTAACCAATCAGTCTCGAATGTCTGTCGAAACAGTTTCCATTGGGCCGAAAAAAAAAGTGAGTGAGTATGATTTTACGCCGCTTTTAGCAATATTCAAGCCATATCACGGCGGGGGACACCAGAAATGGGCTTCACACATTGTACCCATGTCGGGACTCGGACCCGGGTCTTCGGCGTGAGGAGCGAACGCTTTAACCACTAGGCTACCCGACCGTCCCGAAGAAATAAGTAGCAGTGACGATTGTAAAAATGGATCGCAAAACAATAAGCCATGACGCCAGGTGTTCGAGAAAAGGCTAACCGTGTTAAGTACATCTGGTAGCACCCACCGTTCATACATGTTGCACGAAGAAACAGATCAACAAGAAGGGAGCACAGTGGCTTCCTATGGCACTTTTTGCCTAAATGTCTTTTCCCAAATTTTCATGAAGATGTTACCAATGATGGAAACTAGCATTTCAAATGTTGTTTTCTCTGTCAAGTTCAGGTGACATTTGCTTTCATTTTGATTGCCCTGAACCTTTCAAAATAGAGCTGTAACTACAAAACATATACACTTGGCGTGTATCGATATCTAATCACTATTTACCTTCGAATAAATAAACTGCCCATGAATGAGGCACATGACATATATACTTGCCTCGTAATATCAAAGTATAATCAGCATTCTTATCTATGCTTATTGGACGGCAGATATTATTTGTTATAGAAAACATAGGTATACATTACAATGCCCCAACACCATGCCAGAGCTTTTAAAAAGGAATTTGTTTGTTTTGTCGGGTTGTTTTTTTTGCTGCTTAAAGCCGCTCTCAGCTGTATGACGGCGCCCTGTAAATAGTCGAGTCTGGGACGGACAATCTAATGATTGACATCATGAGCGTCGATCTACGCAACTGGGACAGCGTGTCATATTTTATAAGACAAACTTGATCTGTGCATGATCTAATTACTCGCGAATGACTGGTCTTTGTCTATACACAGGGACACACGATGAAGCTGACCTGGCTGATGCTAGCAGTGTGTGTGGCGCGGGGGACGTTCTACTTGGTAAGTAACACAGTGTGTGTGGCGCGGGGGACGTTCTACTCGGTAAGTAACACAGTGTGTGTGGCGCGGGGGACGTTCTACTCGGTAAGTAACACAGTGTGTGTGGCGTGGGGGACGTTCTACTCGGTAAGTAACACAGTGTGTGTGGCGTGGGGGACGTTCTACTCGGTAAGTAACACAGTGTGTGTAGCGTGGGGGACGTTCTACTCGGTAAGTAACACAGTGTGTGTGTCTCGGGGGACGTTCTACTCGGTAAGTAACACAGTGTGTGTGGCGCGGGGGACGTTCTTCTCGGTAAGTAACACAGTGCGTGTGGCGCGGGGGACGTTCTACTCGGTAAGTAACACAGTGTGTGTGGCGTGGGGGACGTTCTACTCGGTAAGTAACACAGTGTGTGTGGCTCGGGGGACGTTCTACTCGGTAAGTAACACAGTGTGTGTGGCGTGGGGGACGTTCTACTCGGTAAGTGACACAGTGTGTGTGGCTCGGGGGACGTTCTACTCGGTAAGTAACACAGTGTGTGTGGCGTGGGGGACGTTCTACTCGGTAAGTAACACTGTGTGTGTGGCTCGGGGGACGTTCTACTCGGTAAGTAACACAGTGTGTGTGGCGTGGGGGACGTTCCACTCGGTAAGTAACACTGTGTGTGTGGCGTGGAGGACGTTCTACTCGGTAAGTAACACAGTGTGTGTGGCTCGGGTGACGTTCTACTCGGTAAGTAACACAGTGTGTGTGGCTCGGGGGACGTTCTACTCGGTAAGTAACACAGTGTGTGTGTCTCGGGGGACGTTCTACTCGGTAAGTAACACAGTGTGTGTGACATGGGGGACGTTCTACTCGGTAAGTAACACAGTGTGTGTGGCTCGGCTGACGTTCTACTCGATAAGTAACACAGTGTGTGTGGCGCGGGGGACGTTCTACTCGGTAAGTAACACAGCTTGTGTGTTGCGCGGGGGACGTTCTACTCGGTAAGTAACACAGCTTGTGTGTTGCGCGGGGGACGTTCTACTCGGTAAGTAACACAGTGTGTGTGGCTCGGGGGACGTTCTACTCGGTAAGTAACACAGTGTGTGTGGCGCGGGGGACGTTCTACTCGATAAGTAACACAGTGTGTGTGGCTCGGGGGACGTTCTACTCGGTAAGTAACACAGCTTGTGTGTTGCGCGGGGGACGTTCTACTCGGTAAGTAACACAGCTTGTGTGTTGCGCGGGGGACGTTCTACTCGGTAAGTAACACAGTGTGTGTGGCTCGGGGGACGTTCTACTCGGTAAGTAACACAGTGTGTGTGGCGCGGGGGACGTTCTACTCGATAAGTAACACAGTGTGTGTGGCTCGGGGGACGTTCTACTCGGTAAGAAACACAGAGTATGTGGCGTGGGGGACGCTCTACTCGGTAAGTAACACAGTGTGTGTGGCTCGGGTGACGTTCTACTCGGTAAGTAACACAGTGTGTGTGGCGCGGGGGGGCGTTCTACTCGCAAAGTAACACAGTGTGTGTGGCTCGGGGGACGTTCTACTCGGTAAGTAACACAGTGTGTGTGGCGCGGGGGACGTTCTACTCGGTAAGTAACACAGTGTGTGTGGCTCGGGGGACGTTCTACTCGGTAAGTAACACAGTGTGTGTGGCGCGGGGGCGTTCTACTCGGTAAGTAACACAGTGTGTGTGGCTCGGGGGACATTCTACTCGGTAAGTAACACAGTGTGTGTGGCTCGGGGGACGTTCCACTCGGTAAGTAACACAGTGTGTGTGGCACGGGGGACGTTCTACTCGGTAAGTAACACAGTGTGTGGCGCGGGGGACGTTCTACTCGGTAAGTAACACAGTGTGTGTGGCGCGGGGGACGTTCTACTCGGTAAGTAACACAGTGTGTGTGGCTTGGGGGACGTTCCACTCGGTAAGTAACACTGTGTGTGTGGCTCGGGGGACGTACTACTCGGTAAGTAACACAGTGTGTGTGGCTCGGGGGACGTTCTACTCGGTAAGTAACACAGTGTGTGTGGCACGGGGGACGTTCTACTCGGTAAGTAACACAGTGTGTGTGGCGCGGGGGACGTTCTGCTCGGTAAGTAACACAGTCCGTGTGGCGCGGGGGACGTTCTACTCGGTAAGTAACACTGTGTGTGTGGCGTGGGGGACGTTCTACTCGGTAAGTAACACAGTGTGTGTGGCACGGGGGACGTTCTACTCGGTAAGTAACACAGTGTGTGTGGCGCGGGGGACGTTCTACTCGGTAAGTAACACAGTGCGTGTGGCGCGGGGGACGTTCTACTCGGTAAGTAACACAGTGTGTGTGGCTCGGGGGACGTTCTACTCGGTAAGTAACACAGTGTGTGTGGCTCGGGGGACGTTCTACTCGGTAAGTAACACAGTGTGTGTGGCGTGGGGGACGTTCTACTCGGTAAGTAACACAGTGTGTGTGGCACGGGGGACGTTCTACTCGGTAAGTAACACAGCTTGTGTGGCGCGGGGGTCGTTCTACTCGGTAAGTAACACAGTGTGTGTGGCGTGGGGGATGTACTACTCGGTAAGTAACACAGTGTGTGTGGCGTGGGGGACGTTCTACTCGGTAAGTAACACAGTGTGTGTGGCGCGGGGGACGTTCTACTCGGTAAGTAACACAGTGTGTGTGGCGCGGGGGACGTTCTACTCGGTAAGTAACACAGTGTGTGTGGCGTGGGGGACGTTCTACTCGGTAAGTAACACAGTGTGTGTAGCGTGGGGGACGTTCTACTCGGTAAGTAACACAGTGTGTGTGGCGCGGGGGACGTTCTACTCGGTAAGTAACACAGTGTGTGTGGCGCGGGGGACGTTCTACTCGGTAAGTAACACAGTGCGTGTGGCGCGGGGGACGTTCTACTCGGTAAGTAACACAGTGTGTGTGGCGTGGGGGACGTTCTACTCGGTAAGTAACACAGTGTGTGTGGCTCGGGGGACGTTCTACTCGGTAAGTAACACAGTGTGTGTGGCGTGGGGGACGTTCCACTCCGTAAGTAACACAGTGTGTGTGGCGTGGGGACGTTCTACTCGGTAAGTAACACAGTGTGTGTGGCTCGGGGGACGTTCTACTCGGTAAGTAACACAGTGTGTGTGGCGTGGGGGACGTTCTACTCGGTAAGTAACACAGTGTGTGTGGCACGGGGGACGTTCTACTCGGTAAGTAACACAGTATGTGTGGCGTGGGGGACGTTCTACTTGGTAAGTAACACAGTGTGTGTGGCGTGGGGGACGTTCTACTCGGTAAGTAACACAGTGTGTGTAGCGTGGGGGACGTTCTACTCGGTAAGTAACACAGTGTGTGTGGCGCGGGGGACGTTCTACTCGGTAAGTAACACAGTGTGTGTGGCGCGGGGGACGTTCTACTCGGTAAGTAACACAGTGCGTGTGGCGCGGGGGACGTTCTACTCGGTAAGTAACACAGTGTGTGTGGCGTGGGGGACGTTCTACTCGGTAAGTAACACAGTGTGTGTGTCTCGGGGGACGTTCTACTCGGTAAGTAACACAGTGTGTGTGGCGCGGGGGGTGTTCTGCTCGGTAAGTAACACAGTGTGTGTGACGTGGGGGACGTTCTACTCGGTAAGTAACACAGTGTGTGTGGCTCGGCTGACGTTCTACTCGGTAAGTAACACAGTGTGTGTGGCGCGGGGGACGTTCTACTCGGTAAGTAACACAGCTTGTGTGTTGCGCGGGGGACGTTCTACTCGGTAAGTAACACAGCTTGTGTGTTGCGCGGGGGACGTTCTACTCGGTAAGTAACACAGTGTGTGTGGCTCGGGGGACGTTCTACTCGGTAAGTAACACAGTGTGTGTGGCGCGGGGGACGTTCTACTCGGTAAGTAACACAGTGTGTGTGGCGCGGGGGACGTTCTACTCGGTAAGAAACACAGAGTATGTGGCGTGGGGGACGCTCTACTCGGTAAGTAACACAGTGTGTGTGGCGCGGGGGACGTTCTACTCGGTAAGTAACACAGTGTGTGTGGCGTGGGGGACGTTCTACTCGGTAAGTAACACAGTGTGTGTGGCTCGGGGGATCTTCTACTCGGTAAGTAACACAGTGTGTGTGGCGCGGGGGACGTTCTACTCGGTAAGTAACACAGTGTGTGTGGCTCGGCTGACGTTCTACTCGGTAAGTAACACAGTGTGTGTGGCGCGGGGGGCGTTCTGCTCGGTAAGTAACACAGTGTGTGTGGCGCGGGGGACGTTCTACTCTGTAAGTAACACAGTGTGTGTGGCGCGGGGGGCGTTCTACTCGGTAAGTAACACAGTGTGTGTGGCTCGGGGGACGTTCTACTCGGTAAGTAACACAGTGTTTGTGGCGCGGGGGACGTTCTACTCGGTAAGTAACACAGTGTGTGTGGCTCGGGGGACGTTCTACTCGGTAAGCAACACAGTGTGCGTGGCGCGGGGGCGTTCTACTCGGTAAGTAACACAGTGTGTGTGGCTCGGGGGACATTCTACTCGGTAAGTAATACAGTGTGTGTGGCTCGGGGGACGTTCCACTCGGTAAGTAACACAGTGTGTGTGGCACGGGGGACGTTCTACTCGGTAAGTAACACAGTGTGTGTGGCGCGGGGGACGTTCTACTCGGTAAGTAACACAGTGTGTGTGGCGCGGGGGACGTTCTACTCGGTAAGTAACACAGTGTGTGTGGCTTGGGGGACGTTCCACTCGGTAAGTAACACTGTGTGTGTGGCTCGGGGGACGTACTACTCGATAAGTAACACAGTGTGTGTGGCTCGGGGGACGTTCTACTCGGTAAGTAACACAGTGTGTGTGGCACGGGGGACGTTCTACTCGGTAAGTAACACAGTGTGTGTGGCACGGGGGACGTTCTACTCGGTAAGTAACACAGTGTGTGTGGCGCGGGGGACGTTCTTCTCGGTAAGTAACACAGTGCGTGTGGCGCGGGGGACGTTCTACTCGGTAAGTAACACTGTGTGTGTGGCGTGGGGGACGTTCTACTCGGTAAGTAACACAGTGTGTGTGGCACGGGGGACGTTCTACTCGGTAAGTAACACAGTGTGTGTGGCGCGGGGGACGTTCTGCTCGGTAAGTAACACAGTGCGTGTGGCGCGGGGGACGTTCTACTCGGTAAGTAACACAGTGTGTGTGGCTCGGGGGACGTTCTACTCGGTAAGTAACACAGTGTGTGTGGCTCGGGGGACGTTCTACTCGGTAAGTAACACAGTATGTGTGGCTCGGGGGACGTTCTACTCGGTAAGTAACACAGTGTGTGTGGCGTGGGGGACGTTCTACTCGGTAAGTAACACTGTGTGTGTGGCACGGGGGACGTTCTACTCGGTAAGTAACACAGCTTGTGTGGCGCGGGGGACGTTCTACTCGGTAAGTAACACAGTGTGTGTGGCACGGGGGACGTTCTACTCGGTAAGTAACACAGTGTGTGTGGCACGGGGGACGTTCTACTCGGTAAGTAACACAGTGTGTGTGGCACGGGGGACGTTCTACTCGGTAAGTAACACAGTGTGTGTGGCACGGGGGACGTTCTACTCGGTAAGTAACACAGTGTGTGTGGCACGGGGGACGTTCTAGTCGGTAAGTAACACAGTGTGTGTGGCACCGGGGACGTTCTACTCGGTAAGTAACACAGTGCGTGTGGCGCGGGGGACGTTCTACTCGGTAAGTAACACTGTGTGTGTGGCGTGGGGGACGTTCTACTCGGTAAGTAACACAGTGTGTGTGGCACGGGGGACGTTCTACTCGGTAAGTAACACAGCTTGTGTGGCGCGGGGGGCGTTCTGCTCGGTAAGTAACACAGTGTGTGTGGCGTGGGGGACGTTCTACTCGGTAAGTAACACTGTGTGTGTGGCTCGGGGGACGTACTACTCGGTAAGTAACACAGTGTGTGTGGCACGGGGGACGTTCTCCTCGGTAAGTAATACAGTGTGAGTGGCTCGGGGGACGTTCTACTCGGTAAGTAACACAGCTTGTGTGGCGTGGGGGGCGTTCTGCTCGGTAAGTAACACAGAGTATGTGGCGTGGGGGAAGTTCTACTCGGTAAGTAACACAGTGTGTGTGGCTCGGGTGACGTTCTACTCGGTAAGTAACACAGTGTGTGTGGCGTGGGGAAGTTCTACTCGGTGAGTAACACTGTGTGTGTGGCGCGGGGGAAGGTTTACTCGGTAAGTAACACAGTGTGTGTGGCTCGGGGGACGTTCTACTCGATAAGTAACACAGTGTGTGTGGCTCGGGGTACGTTCTACTCGAGAAGTAACACAGTGTGTGTGGCGCGGGGGACGTTCTACTCGATAAGTAACACAGTGTGTGTGGCTCGGGGGACGTTCTACTAGGTAAGTAACACAGTGTGTGTGGCTCGGCTGACGTTCTACTCGGTAAGTAACACAGTATGCGTGGCTCGGGGGACGTTCTACTCGGTAAGTAACACAGTGTGTGTGGCGCGTGGGACGTTCTACTCGGTAAGAAACACAGAGTATTTGGCGTGGGGGAAGTTCTACTCGGTAAGTAACACAGTGTGTGTGGCTCGGGGGACGTTCTACTCGGTAAGTAACACAGTGTGTGTGGGGCGGGGGACGTTCTACTCGGTGAGTAACACAGTATGTGTGGCGTGGGGGACGTTCTACTCGGTAAGTAACACAGTGTGTGTGGCGCGCGGGACGTTCTACTCGGTAAGTAACACAGTATGTGTGGCGTGGGGGACGTTCTACTCGGTAAGTAACACAGTGTGTGTGGCGTGGGGAAATTCTACTCGGTAAGTAACACAGTGTGTGTGGCGCGGGGGACGTTCTACTCGGTAAGTAACACAGTGTGTGTGGCTCGGCTGACGTTCTACTCGGTAAGTAACACAGCTTGTGTGGCGTGGGGGGCGTTCTACTCGGTAAGTAACACTGTGTGTGGCGCGGGGGACGTTCTACTCGGTAAGTAACTCAGTGTGTGTGGCGCGGGGGACGTTCTACTCGGTAAGTAACACAGTGTGTGTGGCTCGGCTGACGTTCTACTCGGTAAGTAACACTGTGTGTGTGGCGCAGGGGAAGTTCTACTCGAGAAGTAACACAGTGTGTGTGGCTCGGCTGACGTTCTACCCGGTAAGTAACACAGTGTGTGTGGCGCGGGGGACGTTCTACTCGGTAAGTTACACAGTGTGTGTGGCGCAGGGGAAGTTCTACTCGGTAAGTAACACAGTGTGTGTGGCTCGGGGGACGTTCTACTCGGTAAGTAACACAGTGTGTGTGGCGTGGGGGACGTTCTACTCGGTAAGTAACACAGTGTGTGTGGCTCGGCTGACGTTCTACTCGGTAAGTAACACAGTGTGTGTGGCTTGGGGGACGTTCTACCACGTAAGTAACACAGTGTGTGTGGCTCGGCTGACGTTCCACTCGGTAAGTAACACAGTGTGTGTGGCTCGGGGGACGTTCTACTCGATAAGTAACACAGTGTGTGTGGCTCGGCTGACGTACTACCCGGTAAGTAACACAGTGTGTGTGGCTCGGCTGACGTTCTACTCGGTAAGTAACACAGTGTGTGTGGCTCGGGGGACGTTATACTCCGTAAGAAAAACAGTGTGCACTATCGGAGGACCTATTGAGTACCTACATCAAAAATGTTGTTTATCCATCACAATGGTATTGCAATAATAAGAACGTCATCGCTATTCAGCCCTTTTGTTGAACGGTTGTCGTTACCACTGTACGTGCGACTGGCGTCTCGCTGCATCTGGATGTGGGAACTGTGTTACAATGTGTTGTGTGGATCTGTGACGTGAAGGGATGAGACTTGTGCCACGGCCTCCCCACCTCAGTGTTTGTTTCAATGTCCTTCCAGAGTGCATCCTCATCACCAGAGAGTCACCGAGTTCAGAAACGTCAAGCCACAGTCGTCGTTACTCACGGCGTCGTCAACATCGATAGGCCAGGCAACTCGGCTGATGTAAGCTAACTTTTAAACTGCGCCCCACTGTGTTGCAAAACGACTATATTTCTTAACGTTTCTCTTACTTATAAGCAGCAATTCTCTGCACTTGTACACAGCAGATTTAATTGAATATACCGTTATTATTAGATTCAACAAAATCAGTGATGGTACTCTCGTGTCACATAACTTTCATGTCCATTGATCACTGGATTGTCTGGTTTGTTTACAGGATGACACTGATAGGACGTGTGGCAACACAATGAGATTCAGAAAGCAAACGATCTGAAACATAAACAGGATGTGTGGCAACAGAATGAGCTTCAGAAAGCTAACGATCTGAAACATAAATAGGATGCGTGGCAACAGAATGAGATTCAGAAAGCTAACGATCTGAAACATTGATATGATATGTGGAAACACAATGGTATTCAGAAATCTAACGATCTGAAACACTGATAGGATGTGTGGCAAAACAATGGTATTTATAAATCTAGCAATCTGAAACATTGATAGAATGTGTGGCAACACAATGGTATTTAGAAATCTAACGATCTGAAACACTGATAGGATGTGTGGCAACACAATGGGATTCAGAAAGCTAACGATCTGAAACACTGATAGGATGTGTGGCAAAACAATGGGATTCAGAAATCTAACGATCTGAAACACTGATAGGATGTGTGGCAACACAATGGGATTCAGAAAGCTAACGATCTGAAACACTGATAGGATGTGTGGCAACACAATGGGATTCAGAAAGCTAACGATCTGAAACACTGATAGGATGTGTGGGAAAACAATGGGATTCAGAAATCTAACGATCTGAAACACTGATAGGATGTGTGGCAAAACAATGGGATTCAGAAAGCTAACGATCTGAAACACTGATAGGATGTGTGGCAACACAATGGGATTCAGAAAGCTAACGATCTGAAACACTGATAGGATGTGTGGCAAAACAATGGGATTCAGAAATCTAACGATCTGAAACACTGATAGGATGTGTGGCAACACAATGGGATTCAGAAAGCTAACGATCTGAAACACTGATAGGATGTGTGGCAACACAATGGGATTCAGAAAGCTAACGATCTGAAACACTGATAGGATGTGTGGCAACACAATGGGATTCAGAAAGCTAACGATCTGAAACACTGATAGGATGTGTGGCAAAACAATGGGATTCAGAAATCTAACGATCTGAAACACTGATAGGATGTGTGGCAAAACAATGGGATTCAGAAAGCTAACGATCTGAAACACTGATAGGATGTGTGGCAACACAATGGGATTCAGAAAGCTAACGATCTGAAACACTGATAGGATGTGTGGGAAAACAATGGGATTCAGAAATCTAACGATCTGAAACACTGATAGGTGGTGTGGCAACACAATGGGATTCAGAAAGCTAACGATCTGAAACACTGATAGGATGTGTGGCAAAACAATGGGATTCAGAAAGCTAACGATCTGAAACACTGATAGGATGTGTGGCAACACAATGGGATTCAGAAAGCTAACGATTTGAAACACTGATAGGATGTGTGGCAAAACAATGGTATTTAGAAATCTAGCGATCTGAAACATTGATCGAATGTGTGGCAAAACAATGGTATTTAGCAATCTAACGATCTGAAACACTGATAGGTTGTGTGGCAACACAATGGTATTCAGAAAGCTAACGATCTGAAACACTGATAGGATGTGTGGCAAAACAATGGGATTCAGAAATCTAACGATCTGAAACACTGATAGGATGTGTTGCAACACAATGGGATTCAGAAAGCTAACGATCTGAAACACTGATAGGATGTGTGGCAACACAATGGGATTCAGAAAGCTAACGATCTGAAACTCTGATAGGATGTGTGGCAAAACAATGGGATTCAGAAATCTAACGATCTGAAACACTGATAGGATGTGTGGCAACACAATGGGATTCAGAAAGCTAACGATCTGAAACACTGATAGGATGTGTGGCAACACAATAGGATTCAGAAAGCTAACGATCTGAAACTCTGATAGGATGTGTGGCAAAACAATGGGATTCAGAAATCTAACGATCTGAAACACTGATAGGATGTGTGGCAACACAATGGGATTCAGAAAGCTAACGATCTGAAACATTGATAGGATGTGTGGCAACACAATGGGATTCAGAAAGCTAACGATCTGAAACACTGATAGGATGTGTGGCAAAACAATGGGATTCAGAAATCTAACGATCTGAAACACTGATAGGATGTGTGGCAACACAATGGGATTCAGAAAGCTAACGATCTGAAACACTGATAGGATGTGTGGCAACACAATGGGATTCAGAAAGCTAACGATCTGAAACACTGATAGGATGTGTGGCAAAACAATGGGATTCAGAAATCTAACGATCTGAAACACTGATAGGTGGTGTGGCAACACAATGGGATTCAGAAAGCTAACGATCTGAAACACTGATAGGATGTGTGGCAAAACAATGGGATTCAGAAATCTAACGATCTGAAACACTGATAGGTGGTGTGGCAACACAATGGGATTAAGAAAGCTAACGATCTGAAACATTATTACTATGTGTGGCAACACAATGGGATTAAGAAAGCTAACGATCTGAATGGGATTCATATTTGTTCATTTCAGTTTGACAATCTAAGCAACCACGTACAGATTATAGACACCAGATGCCATGACGACACAAAGGACCACAATGTCACATTCTATAATGTTTCAGTAGTCTTCTTAGAACTTGAAATACACAGAGAGGGTATACTGTGGCGGTGCATGTAGCACTAGAAGGATGTGAGGTTGGCTTGTCTTGTTATATCCAGATCGAGTGTGAGTCTTGTTCTCCTGGGGTGGGTGGGGTTGGGGTGGTGGGGTTGGGGTGGTGGGGTATTGTTTATACGTGTGGATGGAAGGGGTGTGCGGTCAGATGAAAGGTAAATACCCGACGCTGTGATAGAGTTGAACTGTTCCTGACCGCCATGTAAAACAACACCCAAACAAACTTATCTCAACTTATTGTCTGCCCTTTCGCTCAGAATCCAGTTTCAAATATAATAATCCGTAATAATAGCCCTAGCGGAACAGTAGAAATATTCCTCACTCATTTTTGCGTCGAACCAATATGGGTTGCATACTCCTCGGGGAGCTGAGAATGCTATTTCAATGCCACTGAACCGTTGGTCAGTGTCCGGTCAGATTGAGGATAAATAACCGCCGCAGTGATAGAGTTGAAATATTCAGAATCTAGTTTCAAATAATAATAATAATCAGTAATAATAGCCCAGTTGATAAGAATATAGATTCTTTTCACTCATTCTAGCGTCGAACCAGTATGGGTTACATACTCCTCGGTGAGCTGAGAATGTTATTTCATTGTACTTTGAGCATACGTTAATGTGATGATGATGATGATGATGATGATGATTGTTGTTGTTGTTGGTGTTGTTGTTATTATTATTATTATTATTATTATTATTATTATTATGTTTAATCATTATTATTAGTATTATTTTTAATCATTATTAGTATTATTTTTATTCGCGGTAGTACATGTTTTTATTTTTCTCAGGATGATTCAGTTGATGAAGCGGAGGATCCTTCCCATTTCAATGACACGAAATCAGAAGAGGTTAGTATTCTGTGCCCCTTCCACAAAACCATCGTAGCGCTACGACTCTCACAGGTCTATGTTAAAGTATGGGAGGTATGATCATCTTAGCGCTAAGATCGCATTGTTGTCCCTGACAATTTAGGCGTGTCAGTTTACTTCGTGAGAAGGTCCAGGGTGAGTGAGTTAAAGGCATTACCTCGGCACAATGAAGACCCGGGTTCGATTGACAACATGCACAACATGTGTGAATCTCGTTCTGTCGGCCGCCGTGATATTGCTAAAATACTGCTTACAAAGTCCAGCTAACAAACAGACGTAAAGTCCAGCTAACAAACAGACGTAAAGTCCAGCACAACAATGGGAATTGTTTGTCTTCTCACGTATACGTCACAGCTGCCCGGTGTATTTGAGGTTTTTGTGTAGTCTGATTAAACTGAAAGCGATCTGCAGTTCGGATCAATTGCAGATGTTCTGCCAGGCTACAGGGAAGACCCGGGTTAGAATTTATCTTCAGCAACCCATGCTTGCCGTAGCGGGCGACTATGCTTGTCGTAGAGGCGTCTGACGGGATCGCGTGGTCAGGCTCTGTGGCTCGCTGACTTGGTTGATTCATCTCAGTGTTGCCCAGTTGCGAAGATCGATGCTCATGATGTCAGACTCAGACTCAAGGATTCCCAATTTACAGTATTGCTAACTGTGGTGTTTAACACTCACTCACTCACTCACTCATTTACTCACTCACTCATTCACTCACTCGCTCACTTGCTCTCTCACTCACTCACTCACTCACTCACTCACTCACTCACTCACTTTGTTTATTGCAGGAAGAGAATGAAGACGAAGAATTTAGCAATGGTTCAAGGTCACGTCGACTTATTTTCAAGGACAAATCCGACCTGTGGCCTAAGGGCATCCTTCCATACATCTTTGAGGATGATCTAGGTACGTAACTACAGCACGACAATGGCTTCTATTCACGGAAAATATTAGCAAAGAAAGCCTTGGTCCGTGTGAGATGATCTTGGTTCCCTACTGCGATATATGTCTGCTACAATAAATTGAAAATCATAAAATGTAAATAGTGTGCCCGGATTACCCGTGTAGAGTTGTTTCCCTTTGTAAGAGTCAGATGTTGTTATCCAGATGATATTCTACCTTTGTCAGCACCATTCTCATGTCCGTGGGTTTCTCTGTTGTGATTAATGTCTGCGTCACTGTAGGCTATCCTCTCTCAATAAGCTGTCACGCCGTTTAAAATACAGAATACGGGCCACGGTTGATCTCGCCCATCACTCACTTGAACAACAGAGAGCACACACTCACACAGACACACACACACACACACACACACACACACACACACACACACACACACACACACACACACACACACACACACACACACACACACACACACACACACACACACACACACACACACACACACACACACTCACACACACACACTCACTCACTCACTCACTCACTCACTCACTCACTCACACAAACACAAACACACACTCACTTGAACGTATAACGCAGCCATCCAACCCACAGGATAACAGAGAGCACATACACTCACGCACGCACACACTCACTCACTCACACAAACACACACTCACTTGAACGTATCAGGCAGCCATCCAGCCCACAGGATAACAGAGAGCACATACACACTCACACACACACTCACTTGAACGTATAACGCAGCCATCCAGCCCACAGGATAACAGAGAGCACACACACACACACTCACTTGAACGTATCAGGCAGCCATCCAGCCCACAGGATAACAGAGAGCACACACACTCACACACTCACTCACTTGAACGTATCAGGCAGCCATCCAGCCCACAGGACAACAGAGAGAAAACACACACACACACACTCACTTGAACGTATCAGGCAGCTATCCAGCCCACAGGACAACAGAGAGAAAACACACACACACACACTCACTTGAACGTATCAGGCAGCCATCCAGCCCACAGGATAAAAGAGAGCACACACACACTCACACACACACTCACTTGAACGTATCAGGCAGCCATCCAGCCCACAGGACAACAGAGAGAAAACACACACACACACACACACTCACTTGAACGTATCAGGCAGCTATCCAGCCCACAGGACAACAGAGAGAAAACACACACACACACACTCACTTGAACGTATCAGGCAGCCATCCAGCCCACAGGATAAAAGAGAGCACACACACACTCACACACACACTCACTTGAACGTATCAGGCAGCCATCCAGCCCACAGGACAACAGAGAGAAAACACACACACACACACTCACTTGAACGTATCAGGCAGCTATCCAGCCCACAGGACAACAGAGAGAAAACACACACACACACTCACTTGAACGTATCAGGCAGCCATCCAGCCCACAGGATAAAAGAGAGCACACACACACACACTCACTTGAACGTATCAGGCAGCCATCCAGCCCACAGGATAACAGAGAGCACACACACTCACACACTCACTCACTTGAACGTATCAGGCAGCCATCCAGCCCACAGGACAACAGAGAGAAAACACACACACACACACTCACTTGAACGTATCAGGCAGCTATCCAGCCCACAGGACAACAGAGAGAAAACACACACACACACACTCACTTGAACGTATCAGGCAGCCATCCAGCCCACAGGATAAAAGAGAGCACACACACACACACTCACTTGAACGTATCAGGCAGCCATCCAGCCCACAGGATAACAGAGAGCACACACACTCACACACTCACTCACTTGAACGTATCAGGCAGCCATCCAGCCCACAGGACAACAGAGAGAAAACACACACACACACACTCACTTGAACGTATCAGGCAGCTATCCAGCCCACAGGACAACAGAGAGAAAACACACACACACACACTCACTTGAACGTATCAGGCAGCCATCCAGCCCACAGGATAAAAGAGAGCACACACACACACACTCACTTGAACGTATCAGGCAGCTATCCAGCCCACAGGACAACAGAGAGAAAACACACACACACACACTCACTTGAACGTATCAGGCAGCCATCCAGCCCACAGGATAAAAGAGAGCACACACACACACACTCACTTGAACGTATCAGGCAGCTATCCAGCCCACAGGACAACAGAGAGAAAACACACACACACACACTCACTTGAACGTATCAGGCAGCTATCCAGCCCACAGGACAACAGAGAGAAAACACACACACACACACTCACTTGAACGTATCAGGCAGCCATCCAGCCCACAGGATAAAAGAGAGCACACACACACACACTCACTTGAACGTATCAGGCAGCTATCCAGCCCACAGGACAACAGAGAGAAAACACACACACACACACTCACTTGAACGTATCAGGCAGCCATCCAGCCCACAGGACAACAGAGAGAAAACACACACACACACACTCACTTGAACGTATCAGGCAGCTATCCAGCCCACAGGACAACAGAGAGAAAACACACCCACACACACTCACTTGAACGTATCAGGCAGCTATCCAGCCCACAGGACAACAGAGAGAAAACACACACACACACACTCACTTGAACGTATCAGGCAGCCATCCAGCCCACAGGATAAAAGAGAGCACACACACACACACTCACTTGAACGTATCAGGCAGCTATCCAGCCCACAGGACAACAGAGAGAAAACACACACACACACACTCACTTGAACGTATCAGGCAGCCATCCAGCCCACAGGACAACAGAGAGAAAACACACACACACACACTCACTTGAACGTATCAGGCAGCTATCCAGCCCACAGGACAACAGAGAGAAAACACACACACACACACTCACTTGAACGTATCAGGCAGCTATCCAGCCCACAGGACAACAGAGAGAAAACACACACACACACACTCACTTGAACGTATCAGGCAGCCATCCAGCCCACAGGATAAAAGAGAGCACACACACACACACTCACTTGAACGTATATCAGGCAGCTATCCAGCCCACAGGACAACAGAGAGAAAACACACACACACACACTCACTTGAACGTATCAGGCAGCCATCCAGCCCACAGGATAAAAGAGAGCACACACACACACACTCACTTGAACGTATCAGGCAGCTATCCAGCCCACAGGACAACAGAGAGAAAACACACACACACACACTCACTTGAACGTATCAGGCAGCCATCCAGCCCACAGGATAAAAGAGAGCACACACACACACACTCACTTGAACGTATCAGGCAGCTATCCAGCCCACAGGACAACAGAGAGAAAACACACACACACACACTCACTTGAACGTATCAGGCAGCTATCCAGCCCACAGGACAACAGAGAGAAAACACACACACACACACTCACTTGAACGTATCAGGCAGCCATCCAGCCCACAGGATAAAAGAGAGCACACACACACACACTCACTTGAACGTATCAGGCAGCTATCCAGCCCACAGGACAACAGAGAGAAAACACACACACACACACTCACTTGAACGTATCAGGCAGCCATCCAGCCCACAGGACAACAGAGAGAAAACACACACACACACACTCACTTGAACGTATCAGGCAGCTATCCAGCCCACAGGACAACAGAGAGAAAACACACACACACACACTCACTTGAACGTATCAGGCAGCTATCCAGCCCACAGGACAACAGAGAGAAAACACACACACACACACTCACTTGAACGTATCAGGCAGCCATCCAGCCCACAGGATAAAAGAGAGCACACACACACACACTCACTTGAACGTATCAGGCAGCTATCCAGCCCACAGGACAACAGAGAGAAAACACACACACACACACTCACTTGAACGTATCAGGCAGCTATCCAGCCCACAGGACAACAGAGAGAAAACACACACACACACACTCACTTGAACGTATCAGGCAGCCATCCAGCCCACAGGACAACAGAGAGAAAACACACACACACACACTCACTTGAACGTATCAGGCAGCTATCCAGCCCACAGGACAACAGAGAGAAAACACACACACACACACTCACTTGAACGTATCAGGCAGCTATCCAGCCCACAGGACAACAGAGAGAAAACACACACACACACACTCACTTGAACGTATCAGGCAGCCATCCAGCCCACAGGACAACAGAGAGAAAACACACACACACACACTCACTTGAACGTATCAGGCAGCTATCCAGCCCACAGGATAAAAGAGAGCACACACACACTCACACACACACACACACACACACACACACACACACACACACACACACACACACACACACACACACACACACACACACACACACACACACACACACACACACACACACACACACACTCACTTGAACGTATCAGGCAGCTATCCAGCCCACAGGACACATTTGTGTGACCAGTGCAGGCTTAATACGCCTGAAACATTCCATCATTCCATCATTATGACAACATAAGACACAATCTTAGAAGTACAGTGCTGGAGAAAAGAGAAACGATTATCCTTGCTGCAATGTTGGGTGATACATGGTATATAATTCAAATCAAAAGACTCTCCGAGCGTAAGTGACTACATCGGGCTACAATCTAATAATATGTCTCTGACAGAAATAGCAGTAAATATTAATACAAAACGTATGTCTCACTTTTGAATCGTTTTGAGGTTTATTTTTTCTGGTTGATATTTTGCTTTCTTTTAATTAAATATATTTCTTATTAAACGAACTTGTGTTTGCTTGATGTATTAATCCATGTTATTAAGCAGATGATTTAAATTCACAAGAGAAATGGTGTTTAATGCCATACATTTAAATAAATGGTAACTTCCTATGGTGTGGTAAATATACTTGTATTTTTGATTGTTAATCATCATTAGATGTATTGACCTTGTTTTTAGTCTAAGTTGCTCCTAAACAGTAGCACCACCGATATCAAATTTCATGTATGACGGTTGGGTCACAAGACCAGTGTAAAATGTGATTTCACAGCTAGTGTTTCGTTAAAGGCAGCGACGCCCGCAACGAAATCTCCATAACTCAGCGACGGATCGAGAAGTACACCTGCATCCGGTTTGTACCATGGGTCAAGGGCGTCACCAAGGCAACGTACAACCTATCCCACGAGGGTCATCTAAACTTTGTCGATGATAGCGGGTATGTCTAAGGCGACTTTTACCACGTTGGCAGAAATCTGTAAAAGGTAAAATAACCTTGTGTGAAAACAACAAACAACAAAACAGTGGTATACAATCAACAAATGTATTAACTAGGTTTCCAAAAAAAATACAAATTACTGCACAGCAATTCAAATGGCAGAAGACAATAGAATGGTAGTACAATATTCAACGGCAATAAATAATATGATCGCAGTGGTCAGTATCAAATTCAGAAATACAATGATGATAACAAAAGTCAATGATAATGATGGGTTGGGTTGGGTTAGGTAGGGAATTATAATTAGGGATGATGAGTGATCCTCACATTAAAGCTGGTCCCGAAGTGATGAAAATGCGTGAGAACTCTTGTCCAACTATAATATTCAACCTACCCAGCCAATGGAAAATTCTACAGTGCCCCCACAAGTCTAGCAGTACTGGGACATTCCAGATTCGCCCATGACCATCGTCACGATGTACACACCACACTAACATCTACAAATAGTAACTTCCTGGCGACTGAACACTGCCCAAACAAAATGCATTATCATTGTCAAGTTCAAGACGTTTTCATTGGTGACTGTGAAGTTCAAGACATTTTCATTGGTGACTGTGAATTCCAAGATATTTTCATTGGTGACTGTTAAGTTCAAGTCATTTTCATTGGTGACTGTTAAGTTCAAGGCGTTTTCATTGGTAACGTTAAGTTCGAGATATTTTCATTGGTGACTGTTAAGTTCAAGACATTTTCATTGCACTTACAAATGTAACATTATTGTTGTGGGTAATACTAAGAAGAAAAAAATTTGAATATAGCAGTGTACCAACGTACCAGCATCGGCCAATCTTCTATTTCTCGACTTGAAAATCACATAATGAAATTGACTTGTCAGGATCTTCTTTATGAAAATTTCGTGAGTGGCGGGAGCTTGACAGGAGATGCTAACCCTCTTCGCGAAGCCCTGGTTTCATCGCTGATTCTCAGTGACCGATTTATGGAAACTGTTTCGTCAGATAATCCAGACTGGTTATCCTGTGGCGTTGTCGTTTTCTATCATGAAGGTAATCATGGCTCATATGTTATTCATTCATTGCTTCAGCTGCTGGTCGTATATCGGATTCGGGTCCAGCGCGAGTGGCAGGAACATCAAATGTTGCTCCAGGGTATGGCACGCTTTTACCATTATTACAGTTCCAAATGCGGCTTCCGGGTCAGAGTTGGTCCAAGCAACCTCTGGTTGTCATGGAGACAGCTCATGGATCGGATGGTGGTCATTCTGGTTGACTTGGTTGATTGCGTGTCATCGCACCCTGATGGGCGGGACGTTACAGCTCGTAATGCGTATCAACATAGATTCAATATGTCCCATGCCCCGCCCCTATATTTTCTTACTTTTGTTAAAACGAGTTTAAACTAATATTATTTCACTTTTTATAAATTTAAGGTGTTAAAACATAATTACAATTCTGATATTTGCGAATGGTTCTGAACCTGGTTCTGGGTATCATTACATTAATATCATACAAATAGGCAGAATATTAATTTGACATTTGTATTATTTCCAGCACTACTGCACGCACGAGTTGGGTCACGCTCTTGGATTTCTTCACGAACACACGAGCCCAAAGCGAGCTGGATATGTCCGTCCCAATTTCCAAAACGTTGATCCTTGTGAGTAATTTAAGTGATGTCATTTTAAGGAGTCTACAACATGAAGCAATATTTTACTTTATACCTCGGGTGGCAAGATTTCACTGCAAACCGCATACCGACCGATAGTAATATTCGAGCAATATCACGGCACGGGACACCATAAATGGGTCCCGATTATATTTCAAGGTGTGTCAGCCATACCCAAAGGGTTGTTCAACCCAGCTCACTCACTCACTCAAATATAATCGAACAAGACAAACCTGCCAGTGAGAGCACAAGATTATCGCAATCGCTGCATGACAGGCAAACAGCCAGGTCACACAGCCTGAACCCCCATATACCCCTGTTAGCAGCTCCCGCGACCATCATGACACACTGGGGATTATACCGGGACCTCGAAGGGTTCATTGTACTGTGCAGGGGTGGTTGGACGTTGCATTTTCACGCACCCTGCGACCTAGATCACATGGCATTCTTGATACTCTCACATATGTCCGTCACTCTTACACAAGTACTTGCAAAAATGACGTTTAACAACAACTAGCTTGAGTTTTGTCTCTCGTGTTGGCCAAGTGCGTTAAGATGGTATTCAATACTCTGGTATTTTCCAATGATGTTTAATCATGAAATACCTCTACAGATAACAGATAAACATCGGTCTCCTTTTTTGTGGTGAAGGTTAGACTCTGTCACATATCATAAACTAAGAATAAGTGTTTTTAATCTTTGTTGTGAATCATCTGTCGTTAAATCTGTAACAACCTTGTCATCTCCTGTGTAGATGTTTTGGGACACAATCAGATATTGACCTGTTGTCAGTGTCACAGGGGACAGGCGGGGATCAGCTGGGCACTGGAGCATGTAATGTGGGAAGTTACAGGGGGACACCGCCATGAGGCAGATGGTGGTGATTGGCACAGTGTGGGTTGCGTGCTTGTGTGGTGCTGAAGTCTGGGTTTAAATCCAAGCAATTATAAATCAATCACCTTGTATCCCCAGTAGAGATATGTGCTATAACTGCTTTTAATACTTGCCCGTGAAGAGATCACCCGTTTAATAAACATACAGCTGTATTACACATTGTGTAATACCAAAACGCGTGCATTTGTACTCTTGGAACACGTTTCCCAAACAAATATGGAAAGCTCTCAACATCCCTTGGCTTACTCAACGACATCGCTCGTCAGATACCACAACTATTCACTCGTTTCATAAAATTGGTATGACACGGGAGTTCCTTTAGTATTTTATATATTATCCTCTATTCCATCTACTTACCAAGTTTGCCAGACACCTGTCTGTGCCATCCGGAGGTCAATGGTTATGTTTCACATGTCACATGATATGTGTTGATTGTTTTCTTTTTGTTTGTGTTTCCACAGCAAACTGGGGAATATACGACATTAAAAGTCAAAGCGACTATGAGGACCTGAGGTTTGACATGACCAGCCACATGCATTATAACCCTACGGTATGTGAAAACTGCGGTATTCTCCTTCCTATAATGTTTCAATAATATATGATTGCTTCCTTGAACCAATACAAGGGCAGTGCTCGGTAATCCAGTAATACATGGTTGCTTCCTTTAACCAATACAGGGGCATAGATCGGTAATCTAGTAACACATGGTTGCTTCCTTGAAGCAATACAGGGGCATAGATCGGTAATCTAGTAACACGTGATTGCTTCCTTGAAGCAATACAGGGGCAAATATCGGTAATCTAGTAGCACATGGTTGCTTCCCCTAACCAATATAGGGGCATAGGTCGGTTATCTATCAACACGAGATCACACATTTTAAAGAACATAGTTCAATATTTACATTACATATTGCGTTTCTCAAACGATTCCTTCAGGGTTACTCCAAGAATGGCTGGTACACCCAGACAGTGTTGTTCCGAGACCTGCAGCCTATGCTACAGAACAGGGGCAACGTCTACTACTCCTGGCACGCCCTGGCCCACGCCTACACCTGCACGGGTACGTCCACACATGACCCCTGGGGGTCAGGTCATGATAGGCCCCAGAAACCTGGTGAGCTAAGGACGGCGGGTAATATTTGAAAAAAACATCTGTACCTGAAAACACTCGAAATAAAATAAAAATTATATGCGGTTATGCTAAACGAAAAACTAAATTATTTGTTGAATATGCTGGAAGTTCTAAAAAAGAAAGTGTTGTGGGTAAACAAAATAGCTCCTCCTATCTGTAACAATTGGTGGATGTTTTGAAGCAATCAGAGTTAAGTGGAACAACCAAACGTTAAATTCTGTGATTAAGAACATTTATTGAGCACGTGTTGTAGCTAGGGACACATAATGCAGTTCATACCATGGCAATCAGAGTTTAGTGGAAAAACCAAAGGCTAAATTCTGTGATTGAGAACATTTATTGAGCACGTGTTGTAGCTAGGGACACATAATGCAGTACATACCATGGCAATCAGAGTTAAGTGGAAAACCAAAAGGCTAAATTCTGTGATTGAGAACATTTATTGAGCACGTGTTGAAGCTAGTGACACATTGATATCGGCGACACTTGGTCGAGTGAGTGAACTAGTAGGGTTTTACGCCACGTTTAAGCAGGTGTGATATTTGCATTTTTCAGTGACACTGACGCATGTTTGATTCTGTTTGATCAAAATTAATTTTCATTTTCACAAAAAAATTCAAGTGTGAAAAACAATTTGTCGATAGCCTACGCAAAGATGCATAGATCAAATGCTGTCCATAACCTATTACAATTGTATACATCTGATATCGGAACAACAACTCAACAAACATGATGAAATATGTTATTTATACATTTGTTTCGGCTTATCTTAATTATACCGCTTTCAAGGCAAATCATTAATGTTAAAGATGTAGACCTCAAGGTGATGGAGCCTCGGTAATACAACAGTTAGATGCTTAGTGTACTGTATTCTAAGTGCGGTCTATTTTCAGAGGAGAAGTGTCCAAGTGGGGCAGCTGTGACTTGCGTCAACGACGGTTTCGTCTCTTACATCGACAACAGCACGTGCGCATGTATCTGCCCACCAGGTCTGGATCCAGCTAAGGGCTGCTCTGACGTCATAAAACAGGGTGAGTAGGGAATCATGGGCTTCTATTACGGCATAAGACTGTTATGCAGGGCTGCGTGTGACTTAAAACCTTCAGATCAGCCTGAGAGTGTGCGAGATACGCTAAAGTGTAATTTATTACATGCGGAAAGCGCACGTTAAATCCCCTAAAATCCAATCCAATCCAAGCCTGAGAGTGGGGGAAATCATGATACGTCTAGAAGAGTGCTAAACGTTGCGTAATGCGCACCTCACTCACACGTGGCTTCAACAAATTCCAAAAATGTTGACCAACTATTTCGGACATAATACAGGGTGTGTAGACAATCAAGGCCTGCTGTTACCTCATAAAACAGGTGAGGAGGAGATCGATGTTTTTTGCTGTGATATAAAAGATTAGGTAATTAGGGGCACTATTGCAGTCATACCAGTCCTATGTTGTGTCAACGCACGGGCTCTCGGGGGAATAAAGGACAAATGGACATCACTGCCCCGGAACGCGTTATGCACAACATGTAAACAATAAACAACAATTGCACATGAGCGGAATACCTGCTCTGACAACACAAACACAGCAATGAGCGGACCTTCCAGCTCAGGCGTACAAGAGGTGAGCGGAGCTCCAGCTCACCCCAGGGCGTTTCCTACGAGCGGCACATCCTGCTCGAGGTCATCCCTATGCCAGCACTCAGAATACCAAGCCTGACTAACCCCTAGTAACTGTGTAATGGTAGCATATATATAGTAATGAACAACAATGGAAATACAATGACGTTGCTCTGGACATGGGACTTCCGGGGGTGACGTACCGACACTGTACTTGCATCACCCTTGCGAGCTACAAGTCAGATAACCCCGAACCTCTTCCATTCAAGAAGTGATGGTACAAGTGTCATCAGATTTGAAGGTGTTTATTCTGTTTATGAAGGTTCTCATAAAGGGTAAAAGGCTGTAAGAAATACAAACACAAATGATTACTTAACCTGGTCGCTAGCATAAAATATCATGTGTTTAACAAAAGGTGTCCACATTTTAAAATCATTACGGTAATTTGCTATTCAACAAAAATAACAACTTTTAGTCCACAATGCGCTAAAACAGACTTTAAAGACACACCTAAACAACGTAAGAAATATCCATTTACATATAACCTTATGCGACAATAATTATAAGGGTAACTCAAACACATAAATTGAATGCGTCAGCATATTCAAAAACCGCGCGAAAACTTAGTCACATTACAAGGCTTGTCAAAGCGAATTCCCGACATATCATCCTATGACAGCCCAATTAAACTGTACACAAACAATCTTAACCATACTATCATAAATATACTGCCAATACTCACACTGTGGTGTGTCACAAGTGGTCAAAACCTAATTTTCCTGATTGCGAGAGCGAACGGCGTGGTTTGCCTCGGCTACCTTTACGCAACGACAAATTTGACTCGTGCACAGGAGAGTTCCAACAGCCAGGGAGCATACATTGCGGGAAACTGTTACGCTGTAACAGCACACTCCCCGCCTGATATCTCACCGAGATATCACCTCTAGTTCAGCAACTAAATCTAATAAATCAAATCTACATCTAAAATAACTAATATAACACATGAAAAAGTACTTTGGCACTTGAGAGTTCATCTTGAACTGGACAGTTTGTGAAGTATCAGAGTTTGGAGATAGCAGTGTTACCAACTCTGTAACTGGACGAATGTACCTCGTAATCTTTCCTCCTCTCATTATTCGAAGTTCAACCTTTCGTACTTTCCCATCACTGCTTGGGAAGGCTCTCTCGACAACTGCCATTGGCCAATCATTTCTAGCACTGTTCTTCTCATTCAGTAGAACAAGATCACCCTGTAACACATTACGCTGGTCCTGAAACCACTTTCGTCTTGGCTGTAGAGTGTGGAGATATTCCTGTCTCCAACGATTCCAGAACGTATTTGCGAGGGATTGAACTCTCTGCCATTGCGATCGAAGCAAGTCCTTGGAGTCACAAAGTTCCATCTGTTCCACCTCATGATTAGTCTTCTGAGTCAAGAGAATGGCAGGGGTAAGAATTTCTGGCGACTGAGGATCCGAGGAAATTGGGACGATAGGTCGCGCATTCACAATCGCAGATACTTCGGCCATGAATGTCGATAGAACTTCATGAATTAAATGCCTATGGCGGGTTTCTGCCAACATAGAGTCCAGAATTCTTCTTGTGACTCCTATCATCCTTTCCCAGACGCCGCCCATGTGTGAGGATTGTGGTGGATTGAAAATCCATTTGGTCCTTTCATCATCTAGGAAACGCTTGATAGAATTGTCCTCAACATTCACAACATTTACCTTGAGGGCATCTGTTGCTCCAACAAAGTTTGTTCCGCGATCCAACCTCAGTTCCTTCACTGGTCCCCTTATTGAAATGAATCTTCTGAGAGCGTTGATGATTGAAGAAGAAGATAATTCTTCAACAACTTCGATATGGATAGCCCTTGTGGTAAGACATGTGAATAAAACAGCCCACCGCTTGTTATTAGCCTGACCCCCTCTAGTGCGACGTGTAACAACAAACCATGGTCCAAAGGTGTCTAATCCAACGTAAGTGAAGGGAGGACTTGGCATTAGACGGTCACTAGGGAGATCAGCCATCTTCTGGTATTGTTGTCTTCCACGGAGCTTCCGACATGAAACACATTTGTATATGAGCGAGGAGATCACCCTCTTAGCTCCAGTGATCCATAAACCAGCCGACCTAACTGCTCCTTCTGTGAACGTACGACCCTGATGTTTGACCCTTGAGTGATGGTGATGCACTAGGAGCCTCGCAAGGTGAGAGTCACCAGGAATAATGGTCGGGTTTTTCAGGCGAGCATCAAAATCTGATTTGTTTAGGCGTCCGCCAACACACAGAATACCATGTTCATCCAGCTTTGGATCCAAGCTCAATATAGTGCTATTCCTTGGGATGGGCGAATTTGCCAGCAGACAGTCAATCTCTGCTCCAAAGGTTCTGTACTGTACCGTCTTCATTAGAAAGCGTTCAGTCTCTTTCAAGGTGTCCGAATTGATTCCCAATGGATCTTTGTTTTGGATTTTGCGAGCCATGCACTTGAGTAGAGTGAAAGCGCGTACAAGACTTTCCCATGAAGAAAATTTTTCAAGGTAGCGTGTGTCCAAAGATCCACTAGTGTCGCATACCTTTGTCTTCATGGACGAAGGTGCAGGTCTCAGTTCCTTGTCGTTTTCCTCATCAGTAAGGATGAAGGTATGAGCACAGGAATCTTGGGAAATTGGCGTTGGACCTGAGAGCCAAATTGATGAATTCAACTGCGAAGCATGGATGGATCTGGTACCAATATCAGCCGGGTTCTTATCCGAATGGACATAATGCCATTGTTCTGGTTGAGAATATTTCCTGATACGGTCAATCCTGTTAGATACATACACATAAAACCTTCTTGTTTGATTGTAGATGTAGCCTAGGACTATCTTGCTGTCTGTGTAATACTGAACAACATCAAGAGGAAGTCCGAGATGTTCACAAACCAGATCCGCAATTTCAACTGCAAGTACTGCAGCACAAAGTTCCAACCTTGGTATGGTGTGCCCATGCATAGGAGCAACCTTTGCCTTGCCAAGAATGAAGCCTGTCCTTTGGTCTTTATCTTTATCAACAGTTCTCAAGTAAGCCACCGCAGCTACGGCCTTCTCTGATGCGTCTGAGAAGACATGTATCTCTTTTGTTATGACACCCTGAAATGAGACAGGTACATACGTGCGTGGTATCTTCAGTTCCTCAAGCAATGTTAACGAGTCCTTCCAATCTTCCCATTCTCGTTCACTGGCAGAAGGTAATGGTTGGTCCCAGTCTGAATTTCCAGATATCAGATCCCGAAAGAGAATTTTTCCACGAATGGTCACAGGAGCAGCAAATCCCATAGGGTCGAACAGACTGTTGATTGTTGATAGAATTCCTCGCTTGGTGTAAGGTTTTGGGACTGCAGACACTTTGAAAGTAAAGGAGTCAGATTGCAAGTCCCACGCCATTCTTAGGCTACGCTGCACAGGAAGCAAGTCTGACCCTAGGTCCAGGTCTTTTAGGTCTTTCGCCAAGTCGTCTGATGGGAATGTTTTCATAACCTCTGGATCATTTGATGCTACCTTGTGTAGTCTCAGATTTCCTCCTGACAGCAATGCTTGCTGTGTTCTCTTTATTAGGTCAATTGCTTGCTCGGTAGTTTGTAGACATGTTAGCCCATCATCAACATAGAAGTCTCTTTCGACGAAGAGCTGCACATCCTTTCCGTATGTTTCTACAACAGACTTGGCAGATCTCCTCAGTCCGTAAGTGGCAACAGCTGGTGAAGGGCTGTTTCCAAAGACATGAACTTTCATCCTGTATTCCACCAACTCTTGTTTTATGTCATTATCCTTATACCATAGAAATCGTAGGAAATTCCTGTGTTCCTCTTTAACGAGGAAACAATAGAACATTTGCTGAATATCTGCCATTACAGCTGTCGACTCTCTTCGAAAGCGTAGAAGCACACCTACAAGACTGTTTGCTAAGTCTGGTCCTTTCAGCAGCACATCATTAAGTGATGTCCCCTCATGATTTGCTGAAGAGTCGAACACTGCTCTTAACTGGTCCGGCTTCTTCGGGTGGTAAACCCCAAATAAAGGTAAATACCAACGTTCCTCATCTTCCGTCAATGGTGGAGCCAACTCTGCATGATCATTGTCAAGAATTCTCTGCATGAATTCCAGGAATTGTTGTCTTTTGATGGTGTCTCGTTTCAGGCAGCGATCTAGAGTCTTGGCCCTGTTCAAAGCTTGGCTCCTATTGTTTGGGAGCCGCCTTCTGCCATTTCGGAAAGGAAGTGGGGCAATCCAGTTACCTTCTGATGTTTTGACCATTTCATTATCCATGATTTCAAGGAACTCTCTGTCCTCCACAGATAATCCTAATTTGTCATCCTCTTGAGTGGTAACAAATAGCTTGTCCTCATTTTGTCCATTTCTTTCACGTGCTGTGAAGATAACCTTGTTTTTCTCATTTCCTGATGACCAGCCTTCCTTTACTTGAAAGTGATTGTCACAAGGCTTAAATATGGATGGGCGTCCATCTGACAGAATGTAAGTCTTATTTACCGTGACTTGCTTGGGCTGATGAACTTTGCCAAGGCAAGTTTCGCCTACAATCACCCACCCAAGAGAGAGTTTTTGTCCATAGGGAGTCTTGTTTGGGCCAATCCGTTGGTCCAAAACATGGTGGGCCTCTATTAGGTCCCTACCAATCAGAAGGAGAATTTGTGCGTCATTGTCCAGAGGGGGTATGCAATTAGCAATGTCCTTCAGGTGATTATAGTGCATTGCAACCTCAGGTACAGGTATCTCTTCTCGGTGATCCGGAATCTGATTACATTCTATCAGTGTGGGAAGCTGTAACCTGGAATGTCCATCAAATGACTCTACGATGTAGCCTTTGGCCCTCCGGCCAGAAGTATCTTTGCGTCCAGCACAAGATGATAGTGTGTAAGGGATTACTTCACCATCTGCCTCCATGTTCGTAAAGAATTCAGACTTCACTAAAGATGCATTGCTCTGATCATCAAACATAGCGTACATTCTTGTAGCCATATCAGGTCTTCCCTCTGGATAAACTTTCACTAGGACAGTTTTTGAACAGGACTTTCCAGCAAATCCATCTCCACATATCTGAGTGCACTTTGAAGCAATAGGAAATTTGCTTGTGTCTGAAGGTGAATCTTTCCTCTCCCCGCCATCATTCACTCGGGGAGAAGGTGTTCCTGTTTCTGAGTTCTGTTGTTCCCAATCAACAACATGCAGTGCTGTAGCATGTCTTCTGCTTCCACAAAATGCACATTTAACAAATTCCCTGCAGGCTTTGGCTAGGTGTGTCGATGTCAGGCAGCACCTGTAACAAATACCAAAGCGCTTGATTAGTGCCTTGCGGTCTTCAATAGTCTTGAGCTTGAATGCCTTACATTGATTTAAAGAGTGATCAGTCTTGTGAACAGGGCACAGTTTTGACCAGTCCTGGTTTCCTCTAGTCTCCTGGGTGACCTCTGTCTTCCGATTTGCTACGACCAGAGGTGGTTGTGAGAAAGGCGGTTTAGATCTGTCTTTCCTAGGGGAAGCTGTGTAAGTTTCATGTGCAAAACTTGGATCATTTTTCTCCTTGCTTATGTCTCTTACAAAATCCACAAAAATTGAAAATGGGGGGAACGACACTTTGTTAGTTCTTTTGTATCTGGTGGCATGAGATGTCCATCTCTCCTGGAGGCCGTAAGGCAGTTTGTTGACAATTGGTATCACCCCAGCTGAGGAATCAAAATAAGATAGAAGTGCCTTGTATTCATCCTGACCCTTGATGGATTCAACTTCCGAGAGGAGGTCTGAAAGCTCGTATAACAATTCACTATTCTTGTAAGTCAACCTCGGGAAAGCAGCCAGTTTATTCTTCAGCGCAGCCTCAACCATCTCTGGGCATCCATATCTTTCATCCAGCCTTGCCCATATTCTTTCAAGGCCTCTTGAAGGGTTTTGCACATTAGCAGCTCTCAAACTGTTGGCGTATTTCGAGGATGCAGGGCCTAACCACTTCACCAATAAGTCGAACTCTTCAACGTCTGTAGCCTGCAGTTCGGCAATGATCCTGAGAAAGCTTAACTTCCAAATGGCATATGATTCAGGCCGATCGTTAAAACTTGTGAGCCTTGTAAGCAGTAACTCTTTCTTCAGCAGGAAGCGTGACAGTTCAGTAGCAACAAACATGTTGTTGCCCTCATCCCTATGAATGTTCTCAATTCCATCTCCTTGATGTGCCACTGAGTACACTAAATCTGCCTCTGCACATGGAATATTAGTGTCCGGCAATACATTAACTGGTCCCTGTTGAGCCAGTGGGGGAGAAGGTGAAGTCAGACGTCTGTTGGCTTCTCGTTGAAAGTAGTGCCGAGGCACAGATATGTTACTCGTTTGGTTTTGTGAGTGCCTCGCTACGTAATCCCTTGTGCGATCCTTGGCACCTTCAACTGGTAATGAGAAATGACTGCTTGATCCCTGAGAATCTTCCTCTAACTGCAAGGCCCTTACTTCTGCTTCAGCCCCAGCTACTTCTTTCTGTTCTTTGAGAAGTTTGAGGTCAGCATCCATGTCTGCCTTCTTACGAGAGGCATGAGCAGCAGCAAGTTGTTGCTGCTCCTCCAGAAGTGCACGCTGCTTAAGAATCTCTGCTTCCTTGACAGCATATTCTGCCCTTGCACGTGCTGCCTCTGCCTTAGCACGCTTCCTAGCAAGCGACGAACTGGTGTTGCTTAACCCAGATTTGCTGGTGCGCATAATTGACTTTGATTGATAGGATGATGAATCAATGAGTTCCCGGACGTGATGATCTAAAAGTTTGCCCGTGATTTCAATTTCACTTTTCAGTACCTGGTAGTTCTGCAGATGTAGATCTAGGTCATTGTTGCTATCAAGAGTGTTTGTACGACGTAAGAAGTCTATATATCCCGATGACAGTTCACAGTAATGTGTATGCACTTGAGCCAAGCTCCGTTCAGTAAGTCGTAATGACTTGAGGTCGCCTTGGTATTGACTACAAGCTTTAAGAATTCCCTTAAGTTCCTGTTGGGCTTTAGCTAGTTTAGCACAGTGTGCATCCTTGGTCTCCTTATACATTCCACTTCCTTTTTCTGTTAGAGTTCTTAATCTGTATGAAGTTCCAGTGAGTTCCTCTTTTTTAATAGTTTCCGTCTGCTTCAAACTCATAAACTCCTCAGACCTTTCTGCTTCTGTTTTGTCTATGTCAGACATGATGAATTTTCTCACAGTAGTTATTACTGTATGTTGTAATCAGCTTCTAACTCCTGTTGTTGCCTGAAGAGGGTTCCTGTCCTATTGCACAGTGTAGATATACACAAATCCCTGTGGTGGTTGCATTTTCCTGTTAACGAGCTTGCAGCAGTCTTATGCTAGTCCTTTTACTGTACTTGCATCACCCTTGCGAGCTACAAGTCAGATAACCCCGAACCTCTTCCATTCAAGAAATGATGGTACAAGTGTCATCAGATTTGAAGGTGTTTATTCTGTATATGAAGGTTCTCATAAAGGGTAAAAGGCTGTAAGAAATACAAACACAAATGATTACTTAACCTGGTCGCTAGCATAAAATATCATGTGTTTAACAAAAGGTGTCCACATTTTAAAATCATTACGGTAATTTGCTATTCAACAAAAATAACAACTTTTAGTCCACAATGCGCTAAAACAGACTTTAAAGACACACCTAAACAACGTAAGAAATATCCATTTACATATAACCTTATGCGACAATAAATTATAAGGGTAACTCAAACACATAAATTGAATGCGTCAGCATATTCAAAAACCGCGCGAAAACTTAGTCACATTACAAGGCTTGTCAAAGCGAATTCCCGACATATCATCCTATGACAGCCCAATTAAACTGTACACAAACAATCTTAACCATACTATCATAAATATACTGCCAATACTCACACTGTGGTGTGTCACAAGTGGTCAAAACCTAATTTTCCTGATTGCGAGAGCGAACGGCGTGGTTTGTCTCGGCTACCTTTACGCAACGACAAATTTGACTCGTGCACAGGAGAGTTCCAACAGCCAGGGAGCATACATTGCGGGAAACTGTTACGCTGTAACAGCACAGACACAACTCAGGGGATGAACAATTAAGGCAATAAATGTCATACTATAAATAACAGTAATGAACGGGAAGTGATATAGTAGCCCAGTTTGGCTGTCAGTCAATATACAATGAAATGTTGGTGAGGATTAACAACGGGGATTAGCGCCTAAAACGTACTGACAATTAAGTTATGGAGACATGGCTACAGGGTAATTTGCCTTTGGAGTCAAATGTACTTCAGACAATGGTAGTCGTAAATCAGTCGCTATGACAGTTGTAACCTTGCTGTGTCTCTCCTCTGTAGTGCCCGCTCCCACTAAATGGCCTGCAGGGACGTACGCCATGCCGTCAGCTACGGAAGGATGCCCCGGAGATGTATTCCTGGACGGCTATGTACAACACACCAGTGATGGGGGCAGCACACAGAGCGCCACCGTGCACGTCAAGGGGGCGTTCACACCCAGCAGCTCCAAGTACCACTTCTGTGTAAAGAACAGTTCCACCAGTGATGACGCTGACACAGCAGAATGGGGACCCGGTAGATACTGCATACACAAGAAAGGAGATTGTCCTACAGGTAAATGTTATATTCAAATTAAAGTTTAACATACAATGGAGACATGAGTGGCATGCATGGCGGTTCAGGGTCCTGTGTTCATAGGGTCTTATCCCTTTGCTTATGTTCTAGTTTTGCAAGGACTATTCCCATGTTCATTGGCTCCACTAAAGTGGTAAACGTCAAGAGCCTACATTACTTCCCCCCACATTAAGCTGACACCCAGTCATATAACTGAAAGAGGGATACAATACAGATCCACGTCAAACACACAATTTCATGAGGTCTTGATATCCCCGTGTTAATAAACTATGTGCCAAGCACCCTGATACCGTACCATGTGATGTAAGTCTGTAATTCGGGCACCGTGAAAGCGGAAGGTCTGTGGTTCGATGGCTGACAGCGTCTTACCAAAGGTAAAAAAATAGACGTATTGTTACCCTGCCGGGCGCTCGGCATCGAGAAACAACACGAGGACTGGTCGGCTCAGAGTCAGTACACCGGGCAGTACATGATGATCTGGTATAAGATGGCGCACACACATGCACGTCATCATATGAGTTAAATAATGTTAAATGCGACGTTTAACCCCGCTTCACCTCACCTATATTCCGCTGTAAGGCATCAACACTATTTTCCTTATCTGTATTTTGGGAGTGATGCTTTTTTTAGCAAATTTAGAACAAAACACGTCCATTCATTTATGAAAAAGACACGTCCAGGTTATTCCTGTGTGGTATCTCAACATGTCCACAAAGCTGACAAGCCGTGATGTAAATGACATACTGTCCAAAGCAACGTAAAACCCAACCCACTCACTCATAATAGTTTCGAATTCACCCCTTGTATCGTCATGAGGCTCATTTTCACAACCGCCTTTTCAGGTTTTGAAAGTGGATACGTCAAATACGACAACCTTGCCGGAACCACAACAACGACATCTGGGTCCCTACCCGACGGCGTCTATGATGCAGACACTCGTCTTGATTTCTGTTGCCGTGACGACGGCTACCCTATTGTCCCACTCAAACTCCCCAACACTAAACCCTTCATCTTGTTCCGCCACAAAGGAGAAGCCGACTCCTGTCAAGAAGTTGATGGTAATACGGCGTCTGATCATCTTCAGGAGTTTGTGTCATGTTTGTGATGGAGCTGTCACGCCACTAAATCAGTAGTGAAATATCAGATTACTGTTGATGGGCAATTATTTTACTTGTGACATATACCAGAATGGATATTTACAAACAGCAAAGATGTAGCTACTAAAATGGCAAGTTCACACGGAAATGAACCTATTTTTCTTGTATCTTTTCTACATTAAAAGAGTTAACATAGAAGTGTCATAGACAAAAATATAAAAACATCATAATTAATTAACATATTTTTTGCATTAAAACGATTTATATTTGTCACATTTACCAAGTGTTCTATTTCCATAACAAAAACACCATGGCTTATGCCCCTTGCAACATGACGTCATTGGTGCCAATTGATAAACATTATGACGTCATCATGCTTTGTTAGAGCCGCTTCACGTAGTGTAGGTACAGTTTTGTGATTCTAGCGTCTCAGATGCCAGCCAGCATAGTGTTATGCTGAGTCACAACTGCGCCGGAGTGTGTAGTAGGCCATGTTGTTTTACCGTAAACTGGTACTTGATATCGTTTGCGTTGAGAATAGACAGGGACCCAGTTGAATTGGCACCAATTACGTCATAATCTAAGGGGGATAACTCAGACCTGTTTCGCTCGAAAAACGAAGGCCTTATAACGGCATATCAGTTTCACACTATTGTGAGCTTCCTACTTTCACTGTGAAAAAAATGAGTGTATATTTTCAAACACAGATACTAACTAATTCTAAAATTGCGTTTTGTTTAGAAAAAGAAAGAAAGTGATTTTTGCGTGTACACTTCCCCTTTAATGGTAAGAGTGCGCTAATGAAATAAGGATTGTCTGTTGACGGTGAAATTTGCATCCACGGAAAACATTTAATATTACCCACAACCACAGAGTGATCGTATATGATGTTACAGTGTGTCATTGTTATTAAAATAAGACATGATATACATCGCTTCTTTTGTGTCCATATGGAAATTCAAATAAATAAGTTTTTTAGTCTTTGAGTGTCATCACTGTGTATGAATTGTGCGTGTGTGTGTTATAAGGTAACATAGTAAGGTAACACATTTGGAGCTTCTTAGCTTCAAAGCATGCATGTGTGCATGGGCAGCTTTCTTGATATTAATGTTTAAATCCCAAAACTAACAAATGCTATGTTTTCTCACGATCCCCACATATCTTACCGTCTCGATAAATATATATATACACCCATAACGAATATACATAGTTTTCCTTATCAGTATCATTGAAACTATAAAGTTATTCCCTCTTTAAAAATAACATCTGTAGATAGCAATACTTATTAGTTGTGACACAAAACATTTCGAGTTGTACATAACCTTTCAGAATACATATACATATATATTTATGTATATGTATTCTGAAAGGTTATGTACACCTTCAAAAGATTGCATAAAAAAGTATAACTTGTAAAAACAGATATAAGTTGACTTAAAATAAGAATAATCTATCGGAGAGTGAAACATTATAATGATATTCTTAAACGATACCGTTTACCTTAAATTATTATCTAAAACTGCTGCTCCCGCAGGGATGTTGGCGAATCCGGAGTTCCTGCAGTTTGACGATGACAGCGAAGGCCAGGCAGCCTTCAGCCCGAGGTTACTGGCAAAGAGATTCATTTACTGCTACTATGTGCCAGCTGAACGAGGTTCGTCAAGCCATTTCCTTCTCTTCTGTACCAGGGGCTACTCAGTTTTCTCAAATCCACCCTAGATATTATTTCGTATTCTATAAAGAGAAAATGTCATTCACTCACCTTCCTTTAATGCTCACGGTATTGCCATTGAGAGATTAAGTATGACAGTGTTCGCGGATATACATACTTTTCTCCACAACTCCGCAGCTTGTGGTGGCCTGTATACCTTGACTAAAGAGAACCCCACACAGACCATCACATCACCTGGTTATCCCAGCTTGTACCCAAACAACTTGGACTGTTTCTGGATATTTAAGGTAAGATCAGAAATAAGGTAAGCCGTGATATACATGAAATACTGTCCAAAACTGTCACTCACGTCTAGTTATAGAAAAGCACTCACATATAAAGCCAGTTTCATTTTTTCCACATTTTGACATCTATTTTCCTTTTGTTAGTTCGTCAAAAGTCCCTGTTTTCTCTACACCTAAAAAAATCCGAAGAAGTGATGTATCACAATATTTCATAATACAAAGTTAATATTGCCGATGCGATGTAAACGTTTACCTCACTCACTCACTAATACAAAGTTACTAAAAGAGAGATAATAGAACATTATTCTGGTTCACCGACAGAGATTTAATGTGTCCATCAGGTTAGTGCACTTTGGCCCAACACGGACATCTTCTTACACTTCTACATCGTGGGTTGGAATCCGGGTCCGCCCTGATAATAATTCCTCGTTTCCACTTTTTACCCTGGTGTCACCAAAGTATCAAGTCTTCATCACTCAGGCTTTCCTCCCACTCCAACTTGATCTGTTTCTTGTAAAAAAGTTTGAAGGCTGACGGCATTGTACTGTACAGGGTTACTATTATTTAGTACAGTGTTACTTTCAATTAAGACAGAGGAAATAAAAAGAGCATAATATTCACTAAAAGAACATGACTGATTTAAACAGGCACCAGAGGACTCAACTATTCTGCTGAATTTTGATGACTTTGAGATCGCTACTTCATCAACATCGGAATGTGAAGATGAGCTTTGTGTTAGATCTGTACTGCTCGGCGAAAACCCCTTCACGTAAGTTAAGCGGCAAAATTTGAAATCAGCACTGACCAATCGCAGAACTCCTTGGAGAGTGTGTTCCTCATTGTATTGCCGATAGGGGGCAGGGGTGGCACAGGCGTCAATGGCGCTATGTTGTGTGACGTCCCTAAGGCATGCCAGAAGCCAACGATCGTGGTTCTCCTTGATTATCAGTCTTGGTTCGTGGGCACCATACACGCCACCGGTGGAGCAGGATATATTCACCTTTTCGCAACTACCTGGTGTCGTCATTATTTGTTAGTGACTCATAAACATATGTTATAAATGAAACAAGGAATATTTATTTCCCCCTCCTCCATCACTTGTGTCTTTCTTCCACATTAAGCTCTGATGCCACTGAAAAGAACTAAAAGGAAACGGCATAAAAAGAAAGCCGAAAGAGAATATCAGCTTGACTTCTTTATCATAATAATCTTCTTTACATTCTCTGCATATTCATTACATATAGTTTCAATAACAGGAACTGTTAAGCAAGTTGCCAAAACGGCAACTAAATATACTGTGGGGTACCGTAATTACTGTAAAGGAATATATGTACCTTGTCACCTCTTTCATCTACAGATGCTGTGGTGTACCGTAATTACTGTAAAGGAATATATGCACCTTGTCCCCTGCTTCATCTACAGATGCTGTGATGTACCGTAATTACTGTAAAGGAACATATGCACCTTGTCACCTCCTTCATCTACAGCTAATGTGATGTACCGTAATTACTGTAAAGGATTATATGTGCCTTGTCACCTGCGTCTTCAGATACTGTGATGTACCGTAATTACTGTAAAGGAATATATGCACCTTGTCACCTGCGTCTTCAGATACTGTGATGTACCGTAATTACTGTAAAGGAATATATGTGCCTTGTCATCTGCGTCTTCAGATACTGTGATGTACCGTAATTACTGTAAAGGAATATATGTGCCTTATCACCTGCTTCTTCAGATACTGTGGGGAGTCCCTGCACCGCACTATCCGGACTGTACGGAACACGCTGTCTCTCAATCTCCGGACTACACCCGAGGGGCAGAGGAAGGGCTTCCAGGCCCAAATCAGTCTGGTCACACGTACGTTTGTTTATACATTTGTTTGTTGTTGTTTTTTTTCTAAATATATCCCTGTAAACTGTATTTAATCGAGTTATTGTCAAGTGTTTGGTGCTACTGACTATAACTATTTCTACATTTACAACAGTCTCTACTGCCACAGCAATGTTTCCGAGCACGCCCAAACATAATGAGATCAGGTCATTTGATTAGGTTCACTTCTTTTACACGCGTTCATGTCAAGTATTCCTTCTGTGAATTCTTCAGCTGAAAATCACTGCTACAGGATGGATGACAAGGGCGTCACGTACAACGGGAATGTCTCGTTCACGCGAGGTCGCAAGACCTGTCTTCCTTGGAGTGAAACAACCACGTGCCCACATCACCTGTTTAATCCAAGGTAAAATCCCTCTTTGAACTGAACATGAAAGTATCAACTGTCACAATCAAGAATGCAATGTAATAAAGCTTGCTCGCACAGTCAGGCTGGTTAGGTTAAGAATCAGGTCAGGACCCTTTCCCCTTGCACGCAGTCCAGACAGCGAATGCTGCCTTGTGGAACCCACAAAGAGCTTTCTCGGGGTATGTGAAGACTTAACAACGCTGCAGCTTTCGGCATTACCGACAGCGTCAGACGGGCTCTTATCCTGACAGACTCTCCCAATGCCAGTCAACAGATTTGGAGGTACCCCGAGAACAATGGAGTCGAAAACATTGATACTTGGCATGCAAGCGAGGTCAGCACATTTGCAATGTTTTTCCCTGAATCTTGTCAATCACATTAGTTTCAGATTGGACAGAGACTTCAATGATATGAATGATTCCATTTAGCTTTATCAAAAGGGACAAGATCAGGTTTGTTGGCTGGATACGTCTGAGGCTGTATACGGTCCTATTCCAAATAATTTTATAATTATCATTTTCCATGACGCCCTCTACACATTCTGGGTCGTACATGGATGGAGTCACAAGCATGGCAGTGAGGGTAATACAAGAATCCAGCAAAACCAGCATGTCCTTTAAGATACTGTGTTTGTGCCAGAGCTAGGCATCCACTGACAATGTGTTGGACAGTCTCATTAAATGCATTGCATGATCTACATTTCATATTTCCATTTTGATGTAAAATCACACATTGACGGTTTCGATTGGGAATTCACTGGTCTTGAGCAGCAAACAGAAAGCCTTCTGTGTCATTTTTCAGGCCGGCCGATTTCATCAAAGTGAAGGACTCTGCAGGGTTACTTACCTTCTCAAACGATGCAGTGGTCGTTCAGAGAGCCACAGTAGCAGTAGTAGTAGTAGTAGTAGTAGTAGTAGTAGTATTAGTAGTAGTAGTGGTGGTAGTGGTAGTAGTAGTAGTAGCATGGTTGTTAATATTCTCAATAGCAGCATCGTCATTGTCGTTTATGTTAATATTATTATTATCATCATCGTCATCATTTGTTCAGTGACTTTGATGCCAACTTGAAAGAGAATTATTGCCGTAACCCCGACAACACGTTCCGGCCGTGGTGCTACACGGGAGTGTACGAGGGGCAGTGCGACAGGGACTACTGTGATGTGTGTCAGCTGGGTGAGTGTCCAGTGTTTGTCCATCAGGGACTACTGTGATGTGTGCCAGCTGGGTGAGTGTCCAGTGTCTGTCCATCAGGGAGTACTGTGATGTGTGCCAGCTGGGTGAGTGTCCAGTGTCTGTCCATCAGGGAGTACTGTGATGTGTGCCAGCTGGGTGAGTGTCCAGTGTCTGTCCATCAGGGAGTACTGTGAAGTGAGCCAGCTGGGTGAGTGTCCAGTGTCTGTCCATCAGGGACTACTGTGATGTGTGCCAGCTGGGTGAGTGTCCAGTGTTTGTCCATCAGTGTGATGTGTGCCAGCTGGGCGAGTGTCCAGTGTCTGTCCATCAGGGAGTACTGTGATGTGTGCCAGCTGGATGAGTGACCAGTGTCTGTCCATCAGGGACTACTGTGATGTGTGTCAGCTGGGTGAGTGTCCAGTGTCTGTCCATCAGGGAGTACTGTGATGTGTCCCAGCTGGGTGAGTGTCCAGTCTGCCAATCAGGGAGTACTGTGAAGTGTGCCAGCTGGATGAGTGTCCAGTGTCTGTCCATCAGGGAGTAATGTGATGTGTCCCAGCTGGGTGAGTGTCCAGTGTCTGCCAATCAGGGAGTACTGTGAAGTGAGCCAGCTGGGTGAGTGTCAAGTGTCTGTCCATCAGGGAGTAATGTGATGTGTCCCAGCTGGGTGAGTGTCCAGTGTCTGCCAATCAGGGAGTACTGTGAAGTGAGCCAGCTGTGTGAGTGTCAAGTGTCTGTCCATCAGGGAGTACTGTGATGTGTCCCAGCTGGGTGAGTGTCCAGTGTCTGTCCATCAGGGACTAATGTGATGTGTGTCAGCTGGATGAGTGTCCAGTGTCTGTTCATCAGGGAGTACTGTGATGGATGCCAGCTGGATGAGTGACCAGTGTCTGTCCATCAGGGACTACTGTGATGTGTGTCAGCTGGGTTAGTGTCCAGTGTCTGTCCATCAGTGTGATGTGTGCCAGCTGGGTGAGTGTCCAGTGTCTGTCCATCAGGGACTACTGTGATGTGTGTCAGCTGGATGAGTGTCCAGTGTCTGTTCATCAGGGAGTACTGTGATGGATGCCAGCTGGATGAGTGACCAGTGTCTGTCCATCAGGGACTACTGTGATGTGTGTCAGCTGGGTTAGTGTCCAGTGTCTGTCCATCAGGAACTACTGTGATGTGTGTCAGCTGGATGAGTGTCCAGTGTCTGTTCATCAGGGAGTACTGTGATGGATGCCAGCTGGATGAGTGACCAGTGTCTGTCCACCAGGGACTACTGTGATGTGTGCCAGCTGGGTTAGTGTCCAGTGTCTGTCCATCAGGGAGTACTGTGATGTGTGCCAGCTGGGCGAGTGTCCAGTGTCTGTCCATCAGGGACTACTGTGATGTGTCCCAGCTGGGTGAGTGTCCAGTGTCTGTCCATCAGGGAGTACTGTGATGGATTCCAGATGGGTGAGTGTCCATTCTATGTCCATCAGGACTACTGTGACGTGTGTCCATCGCCCTATCTATCTGTCTCAGGTTGATACACTTTCAACTCCAATACAAAATACTGTATAAGGACATTAACAGGGTTTATGTTGTCTTACAAGAGCTGTAATATTTCAGAAGTCAGAAGATCCTTTCCCTGGTGTATCTAGCTACTCAACACATAACGAAGATTAAGGCCATATACCTGTAAAGTGATGCATGTCGAAGCAGCTCGATATTGGGAGAAACGTCTACGAGCATCTTTCAGGAAATGTAATGTCTGGGCTGTTCAGAAACATTTCATATCATAATGTCCTGTGTTAAGTGATCTCCGGAAACTATATATCAAACCATATTGTCAGAAGAACCCATGTCGTCATACTTGTACCGTGCCTACATCTATAGTCCACCAACTGTTTAATTAAGGTAAATGTATTCGGACTGACACTGATAATTGATGTGGTGTGATTGTGTACGTTCTCCATCTCATGGCCCACCTGTATTATGTATCTATCAAATCTGATGAGCTGTAAGCAGAAATTAATTTAATTGATATTTCGAGTGTGATGCTTTTCAAGAGAGCAAGTTCGACAACTACCCTGACTGTGCGGAACTAAAGGAGGCAGGCTTCTGCGAGAAGGATCAGACGAAGGCGAGGGCTGGCTGTGCCAGAACGTGCGACACGCCCAATGTACCTGTAACCCCAGGTAATATTTACCTGTCCAAGCCTCACACCTGTGTGTCCATACTTCACTGACACTTATACATAAGACCCATGCAAGAAAACGAAGTCCCACAACCATGCTTGATCCTAATATATCGTGATCCTTTCATCATAAGGTTATAAGTAAGGAAAGTCTTAAACGTTTTTCGTGAATGACTCTGCGTATAACGCAGTCTTCACCAGCATGTCAGTCAGCTTGATGTAGGAGGACAGCTTTAAGAGATGCAAGTTTTAGACGTTTACCATTTTGGTGATACCCGAACACGGTTATTGGGCTGAAAAAGATTTTTTAAAAACAAGTAGCAGGGCGAGCGAGAGTCGGATTCACAAATGTCATCTACACTATCACGTATGTTTGTTCATATAATTGCACATTTGAATCTTACAGTAACGACATGTTCTGCACCCAACGTTGCTGCTGACGCTGACCCTGTGACGACGCTGAATTGCAGCTACAACCCCGGGGATACCGTCCAGTTCAAATGTAAATCTGGTACAGACACCCTCACCAGGACATGTTTGACAGACGGGACGTGGTCCCCCGGAGGATATGTGTGTGGAAGTGAGTAGAACTGTCTTCCTAGCATCTATGCTTTTTATATACTAATGTTGGTATGCCATGTATACATGGATATATCTGGGTTTTCTGTGTATGTATTTTGCAATGTTGTTTAACGCCGCACGTTGCACTATTTCACCTTCATGACTGTGTCTTCAAATACTCGAGTCTCAACCAGACAATTTTTGAGTGATTGTTTTGGCAACTATTCAGGGTACGATGACAAGTCATTAGCGAGAAACTGGTAAGAAGTCATGATATCGTCGAACAATCAGCCATCATCTATTGTGACTTGCTTTAACAAACAGACAGTCAGACAGAAAAGCATTGTTGACACAAGCGAAAATCAATTTCTGGTCATACATGTTTGTAAAAAGTAAGTATTGCACTGACGACGAGGATGCTGGCAATTCATAAATTGTAGATACATAAATATTCAAGGATATTGTGCTCTAAAGTATACACTTACAGTCTATATGTATAAATTATTGAGACCCGTGAAGATCCGCGGTAGAGTAGGTCTTCAGCAACCCATACTTACCGTAAAAGGCGACTATGCTTGTCGTAAAGGCGACTAACGGGATCGGGTGGTCAGGCTCGCTGACTTGGTTCAAGCATTACATCGATCCCAATTGCGTGAATTGATGCTCATGATGTCACCTACTGGACTGTTTAGTTCAGAATCGATTATTTACAGACCGCCGTCACACAGCTGGAAATACTGCTGAGTGCGGCGTTAAACAACAAACAAACAAACACAAGATGTTTTTCATGAGCATACTTCAATACACTCAAAATATCGCATGAACAAAGCATCTATGCTTTTTGTTTTCTAATGTTGGTCTGCCATGTACATATGGATATATCTGCGTTTTCTGTTTATATGTTTGTTTTTTTGTTGTTAAGCGCCGCACGTCGCACGATTCCACATTTATGACTGCGTCTTTAAATATTCGAGTCTGAACCAGACAATTCTTGATTGCTAGTTTGGGCAACTATTCACACCGTCAAGTACGATGACAAGTCATTAGCGAGGAACTGGTTAGCAGACATGATATTGTCGTACAATCATCTATTGTGTCGTGCTTTAACAGACAGACAAACATACAGACAGACAGCTTTATTAACACTAGCCAGAATTGGCTTCTTGTCATCCATGTTTGTGAAAAGTTATTATTGTACTGATAACGAGGATGAGTGAGTGAGTGAGTGAGTCAGTTGGGTTTAACGCCGCTTTTAACAATATTCCAGTTATATCATGGCGTGACAGCTTAATGTGGGAGGAAAGCCCGAAGTGATGCTGATCTCAGACGTTTACCACTCTGGTGAAACCCACGAGCACGGGTATGGTGCTGACAAACCTAGAAACATAATCGGGGCAAACCGGGATTCGAACCAACAATCATAGGTTTCTGGCGAATCGCGGCGCCTTAGACGACTGGGCCACCCGTGCCCCCTGATAACGAGGATGATGGAAATATATATATATATTGATTAAATGCCTACCTTTGAATTCTATACATATACATACTAAAGTAGATATGATATTGTTTTTTTCATGATATGCGTTTCATAAGCATACTCGCTAAGGGACTTCAATACACTCAATATATCGCATGAAGAAAGTTGTATAAACTTATTGCAGATAGTTGTACATGATAGGGCTTCGGAAAATTTGTAAATCTTCAGTTTCAAACAGAGGTCAGAGTAGAAAATGATATTCATCCTCTAAATCACAACTAACAAAATACAATATATCATATCCTTTTAATCTGCTACTCTGTACTCCCTACTCCCATGTGTAAAGAGTGTGAGGAAAGTCTCAATCTTGGTTGTACAATTCTAATGTTTGTGTTACTTAACTTTGTGCAGATATGGTTCTATTCTCAACTTTAGTTTATTTGTTTATATACTGGCATTGAAGAAAGTTCTCGGACATTTCAGAATCAATCCGAAGTGAAATGATCTTGTAAACTATGTTTCAAAATATTAAGGAAACATTGACTGTTGACATCTTGTGGGTGTAACCATACATCTAAAAACATTTCTCTCATATACTTCATATTTCATTTAACCACTGACTTCTTGATTCAACTGATGCCTTATGCATTTCTTGCAAACTAACATTGGAATTCTGTGAAGAACTGAGTAAAGTAACTTAGTAAAGTACAGATTCTAGTACTTTTTTAGGTTGAGTCCATGTACTTGACAAAGAAAGTGTTATCTCAAATATAACGTAGAATTAATGTGATATTTTAAATAATCTAAAGCCTAAAACGTTGGTAATTAATAAATAATTTCTCAAAATTGCTCAACAGAGTTATACCCCTTATTTTTTCCAGTCACCCACACTTCCCTTCTTTATGTAAAGGTACCACAGCGCCAACTGACCAAACTGATGAGAAATGACCACTATTTAATAAACAATTAAAAAGGTTGCTATATTTGTGTCTGACTTTCCCAGGTTGCCCCAATGGCTGGAAGTTCTACAACGGCGACTGTTTCGTGTACGTCAACGTGGAGAAGAACTATGCTGATGCCGTTTCCCACTGTCAGACGCTGGGAGCTATAGTTGCCCCCACCAAGGACATGAAGGAACTAGAATTTGTATCAGGTTTACGGTAAGAATTAGCCAACAGGATTGATATAGCCGGCTATGATCCTCTCAGTAACTCGCGAACTATTGGCGATCTCGTCGCGATCTATTGGCGATCTGGTCGCGAACTACTGGCGGTCTGGACGTACAGACGAGTAAGAAAATATAAGATAAATAAAGAATATTCGCCTGTTCTCGTCAAGCAACATTCTGGCCACGCTTTCCAATATCAACTTTGGCAGGTCACTCCATGAGATTAACATGCTTTTTGTTAAGAAAAGATAAATATATATCATATATATAACAACAACCGAGCTTCGCTTTACAATAAGTGTTAGTCACAGTCACCTGCATGAATATAAACAACTGCTGAAACGATGACACATGGGTTTCAGGGAAAAGAAAAAATTGATTTGGATCGGTGGCACAGATATTGACACTGAAGGGTCGTTCAAGTGGTCGGATGGTGCCCCCTTTACCTGGACCAACTGGGAAGGTGGTATGTCGGTGCATCTTTATTCATTTCAAGGATAGTATGCAGTATGTGCAAGGAAAGTACGAAATGTCAATGCAAGAAAAAACCCAGCAAATCACTGATGCGTCAGTTTTTGGAAATGTTTTAAGCTTTTTGAAACAAGCTATGCACATGTATCTAAATATGAATGCTGATGTTTCACTGGTCCCTATTATTTCTAGTTCAGGTGGGTAAATCACTCGAAGGGACTTGGCCATTTGACAATTATTCAACGATAACAGATCAGCCATATACCGGAAGCTTGAGTTAAACGTCTTGGATAATTTCCTGTGTCTTGATTTTGCCAATCCCTGCAATATCCCGATTCATATGCATAAAGAAACTATTCAGCAAGAAGGGGAGCCAAAGTGATGCCAATGGGGATATCTTATCCCAAATTTTACACATATGTTTTCAACAAGGAAGTCCATTATTTCAGATAATGTCTTCTTCTTCTTCAGTTGTCATTTGCTTTCATTTTTGACAAATTGTGCTGAACCTTTGAAGAGGTGCAAGTGAGTGACAAATGTCCCATGGATCAAGAATTTAACTTACGTGTTTTCTGAGATTACACAATTTCAAGATGCTTTCATATTTTTGCAAATTCACATGGCATTATTACAATTTATTTCAAATACATTAAGTTAATATATTGAAATATACAACGTCAACGACAGAGTATAATCAGCCTCAAGTAGGTGTAAAAGGCAAAATAGTGGTGACAATTTCGCATGAATGAATCACTGAAAATCAGTTGTTTGATGGGCATTACTTAGAAGTTGACGGATGACAAGATAGACACAATTTAATGGATAACAACGCCCCATTTTAATTCTGGAAACCCATTTGTCCAGAAACTCTCCACGCTGTGGCCAGTCTCTGTCAAAGGTAATTACAAAATTGAACATGCTTTTCTCATTGGTACATACAAAGGAAGAAAATAATCTTCAAAAAACTAAAAAAATAAACTATGTATTTAAACTTTGATTAACACGAGCTTTTGCGCAAAGGAAAATATTCTCGCCCATGTTCCAAACCTTTTCGCCCATTTGCGAAATATTATAATAACGTCTCAAATTAGTTGGATTAAGTAAAAATGAGTTAAATCATGTGTCACGATGCTTGTAGACAAACCTTTATGTATTTGCCAAAGAAAAAGATGAGTTTTGAGCAAATGAAAATATTCTCATCCATGGGCGATATAGTTTTAATTTTGAGTTTTCAAAAACAAAATTACATTTTTTCTTCCTTTTTATGGACCAATGAGAACAGCTTGTTCAATTTTGTAAATACCTTTGATAGAGACTGGCCACAGCATGGAGAGTTTCTGGACAAATGGATTTCCAAATTTAGAATGGGACGTGTTTTACGTTAATTTAGAATTACGTCCTTTCTTGATCCATACCTCAGTCGTCGAATTTATCTTGATTCACTTCTATCACTCTCAATCACTTGATTGTCTGGTCCAGATTCCATTAATTACAGATCGCCGTCATATAGGTGTAATAAACCCAAAAAACAAAACAAAACAAAAACACTTTCTGGGGGTAATAATAAATGTTGACATTGAACAAGCACAACTATAACATGTAACTGAATACTGTTTAAAGCGGCGCTAAACACTCACTCACCCACTACTTCTGTCCAGGTAAGCCGAACAACTTCGCCAACAACCAGGACTGTGTAGAAGCTTATACAGAGAAACACCAGCATCTGTGGAATGACATGTACTGTTTTTCTGAGCGTACGTTTGTCTGTAGCAGGAAGAGAGACAGTGAGTATATAACACCTTGACTTAACTTTGGACCATAACAATACTAACGGGCGGAACAGCACACCGCAGTGTACATATGTACTTTCCAAATGCATAGGATGAACCTTTTGCTGAAAGTAACCTTAGTGAAAATATGTCTTCTGTGAAGACGTTCATCATTGCTTGTACCTGCAGCCCATATGGACAAGATGTATCATCCATACAAGTTACTTTTGTTCATCATTCATCCTACAAATAAAAGCTTGGATGAACAATACATCAATGTTTCTTTCATGTTGCCCCTGAGGTTTCACAAAGTAGCTTAGATGTACCAATGCAATAATATTCAAATAGTAGCCTGTATGGATAATATATCAATATTTCGTTATGTTGTAAAATGCAGAGAGTGACCTGTATTCAGTTATATCATTCTGTCTTGCGTGCATCCCATGTCGACAAAGAACGATTTCCTTTGATAATATATCTCAACTGTCCTTGATACACGCGTATATGATATATGTGATGTGAGCTGATCACACCAGACACAAAGCTTATGTTTCTTAGAGGTATAAGGCAGTTGGTTCATGTTTCTACTGGTGAGCAGGCTGTACATGTAATCTGCATTTACATCTTTTATGAGCCATATCTAGTTTTATCTTCATCCTTACCTAAAATAATATACACGCTGTGTGGCTTAGTCAAATGGAATTATCAGTATTATTAGAACGTCGACTGGTAGAGCAATTCTTTCAATCGAATCTGTTTACATATAATAATGACTTCAGTCTTTGGGTTGTTTGCTACTGATGAAGTTGTTGCCTTCAGTCAATGTGTTGTTTGCTACTGATGAAGTTGTTGCCTTCAGTCTTTGTGTTGTTTGCTACTGATGAAGTTGTTGCCTTCAGTCTTTGTGTTGTTTGCTACTGATAAAGTTGTTGCCTTCAGTCTCTGTGTTGTTTGCTACTGATAAAGTTGTTGCCTTCAGGTCGTTCCATCTGTGTGGACCGGAGACAGGACTGTAACACAATCCTGAAATCATCGCCTAAGGCCTGTGTGGAGTATGACAAGTTTGCAGGGGAGCAGTGCCCTCTAACGTGTGGAGTTTGTAACGAAAGCGGTTCATGTATGTTATATTCTTGTCTAAAACAGTTTGCATTTCAAAAGTCCATTGCGGTATAGGACTTCCCTTCATTTCTTAACGTGCATCCAACATTCCGTTGCTACCATCTGGTAATGCTCATATGTCATGTAGTACATATAGCTCCCGTGTAATACTAATTGTTTGAAACTCGTTAATAGTTCTGATATCTGACGAGCGAAACAGTACTGTCCTGCACAACAAAGTTTACAATCACAAGATCCTGTGACATAATTTGTGAACTTTTGTTGCAAGACACACCGACGAAGCAATGTCATGTGACGTCAGGCTATCAACAAGGTTGTTTGGGCCATCGAGTGTGAATAAGCCCCCGTCAGTGATCTATCATCGCTTCATGCAATCTCGTTGAATAAGCCGAGGGATAGTTGGAGCTTTCAATATTTATTAGTGAAATTTGTTCCCTCAGTGCATATGCACGCGCTTTTGTATTACACAATGTGTAATACAGATGTATATTTATTAAACAGTTGATCTCTTCACGTGCGTGTAATAGAGTTATGTCTTTAGGTGTTACCTCCCGGAAACACTTGTAGACCTCATCACAGTTTCCATTCTATATTATTCTACTTTTGGGGCTGGTTACATCACCCAGACTTGGTCATTTAAGGGCAACCGTGACATAGGTAAAGTTTTGCTCACTGCTCTTCCACCTACCCACCCTCTCTCCAACATTGTAGAGCAGATGTCTGCACTATACTTTACTGTACTACACTGTACTCTCTATTCCAGCCCTCACCTGTTTGGTAGCCGCAGCCTCAACTAACGTCATATTGGAGGGGGCGACCGACAAGGTTCCACGTGGTCATGTGGTCCAGTACAGGTGCAAGGATGGCCATGTACGACAGAGTGGTCATCCAGAAAGGGCGTGTCTTGCTAGTGGTCAGTTGAGTGGGGAAGACCTTGTTTGTGAAGGTACGTAAACATAAACCTTGGTGAACGCTTTATGGATAACAACTTCTTCATTGTTTATAACGACGTTTCCAACCTATTTCTTACCTCTTCATCATTTACATGAATGGTTCTGACAACGCCTTCTGCAGAACCACAATGAACCATTACAATATCCAATGTCGATTGCCAGGACATATTACATACTTCCACAAACCACAATGAACCATTAGATTATACAATGTTCAATGCCAGGACATATCACATACTCCCACAAACCGCAATATACCATTACCATATCCAATGTCCATGCCAGGACATATAACATACTTCCACAAACCACAGCAAAACATTACAATATACAATGCTCATATTACATATCTTTAAAAGACCAAAATGGACCATTAAAATAAACAATGGTCAATGCCAGGACCTATAACACATTAACAGGACCACAGTGAACCATTACAATATACAATGTTTAATACCAGGACATTTAATATATGTTTGCATGATAAAACTCCAGCTACAGTTGTGAACGCCTGCATATGATTGAAGGATGTGTACTACACACAAATGAAGTTGTTTCCGTACGATTTCAGTAGGCATTCCTATTTACAAAATGCACGCTGTGTCATGTTTAACGAATGCTGCTATTGTCGTAAAATAAATTTCTTTCTCTCTCCTAAAAATGGACCCATGAAGATCCAGGATAGAATAGGTATTCAGCATGCTTGCCGTAAAAGGTGACTATGCTTGTCATAGAGCCGACTAACGGGACCGGGTGGTCAGGATCGCTGGCTTGGTTGATACATGTCATCGAATATTGTTCAGTGCGGCATTAAACAACAACAAAACAAAAATTCTTAAAATATGCCCCGCAATAGTAATTAGATCTAACTAATTTTACCCCACAGGACAACACAATCAGGTTGGTGAATACTGAATTGTAAAAATCGGTTGGATCCAGAATCGAGTTGTTTCAGTTGACAAGAAATTCTTGAGCGTGACATTAGTCGCTTAGCAAACAAACTATCCAACATAAGAAGAACAACACTGCTACCTATTGGCTGCAAATAATCAGCTGATGAACACACATTCAGATTACAATCCCTTGTTGAAACAGACTGATGATTGTGCATATATCCCATCAACAATCTTCATGTTTATTTCATTATCTCACAAATAATGAATGTTAAATGGTTTTATTTCGCCCCCTTTTGGTGAAACCATTTAAGTATGTTGTTTGAGTTGGTTTGTTATTTAACGCCGCACTCCAGCAATATGACGGCGGTCTGTAAGACAATCCAGTGATTTATATCATGAGCATCAACGCAATTGGGATCGATGACATGCATCAACCAAGTCAGTGAGCCTGACCACCCTATCCCGTTAGTGGCCTCTTACGAAAAGCATAGTCGCCTTTAACGGCAAACATGGGTTGCGGAAGACCTATTCTACCCCGGATCTCCACAGGTCCGGTTTAAGTATGTAATTTGACAAATAACCCTCACCACATGCACAACTTTTGCTGTGTTAAGCTCTGTACAATTACATGAGTATGCATGGGTAGTAAGTTGCTGGACTGCACTGTGGGTACCTAAGAAGCATGTCTTGCAGTCGAATCACATTAATCTGGAATGCCGTTATATAACCGGCACACTGTTCAAAGCAGCGTTAACCCCCCCAAACACGTTTTATTGTGATATTATTTATGCGACGCCCATGTCCAAATGCGTCTCCTGTTTGTTTCAAAGCCCTGACAAATACATAAATATGTATTGGGGTTACATTTCGCTTTAACGCCGTTGCACTAAACATGCAGCTGTGGCAACGTCAGTAACTCCCAGCAACAACGTGGACCTCGTCGCCCGACTTGAATACGGTAATAAGTACTATGCTTACCTCGGTGACAACGCCCTCATGAGGATCAACCGTGAAGGCGATCTTACCCAATGGGAATATTATGCTACAACAGCAGGGAAGGCAATGCTCCAGGTGTGGCGGCCAAGAAGCGACGTGGGAGAAAGAAAGTAAGATATCAGTTCAATAGTTTCTTTTGTTTCTTTGTCCTATGTCTCTGTTGACAGCCTCTAAGACTCATAAACCCCATTCGCTTTGTGGAACAGAACTGCAGGCCGTTCCCGTCATTGAACGTTAAGCTATTTGTTACAGTTATGGTCAACTTTGTCACTGAACATCACTGTAGATCTAGTCCATACTTTGTCGTATTCATGGTGTTGAGGTGGCGAAGTGGTTAAAGCGTTCGCTCGTCACGCCGGAGTCAAGGGTTTCTTTTCCCCACATGGGTACAATGTATGAAGCCTATTTCTCGTATCGCCAAGTGTGATATTATTTTAAGGTTTCTGAGAGTGGCTTAAAGCCTCACTCACGGCACATGTCCTCGATATGATATATGTGTTATATCGCACATGTAATTCTCGTGTGTAGGTTTGAGTTCATTGGTCAGAACCTACTGGACACAAAGAAAACTGGACGTATGGAGGTCCTGAATGTCCCCATCAACGATCGCATCCCTGTTGAACCTGGCGACGTGATCGGCATCCACTACTTTGACCCTCTGATTGGTATAACCTTCACCAAGTGCAACAACGAACTGACGCCCGAGGCAGCCAACATGTCGTGGATCAACCAAATAATTTCAGACATGGACTACTTCACTCCCGGCCAACATTACACACGAGCAAACAAGAACAAGTGCTTCATCATGTCCTTCAGAGCCTGGGTCGGTCCTGTAAGTATCTTGACTTGAATCAGGTAAACTACTCGTTGTAGTCTATCATGAAAACTAATACTATAATACTTTGTAACAGAGACTCGAAGAAACATAGAGGTGAAAGTTATAGGGAGGAATCTCAGAAAAGCAGTGATGACACCAGTGTTCGCGAAATGGCCAATGATGTCATTCCCCACCGTAAAGCACCCGTCACTCACACAAGTTACCTCAGCAGAACAAAATTCCCTAACTGATGACGCTATTCACTCACTGTGCGATTTGTTGACGAAGGTGGTCACGTGTGATGTTCCTCCTGCCCATCCTAACGCCATCTTGAAAACAACAACCAACCCCGTCCGGATTGCTACGGTAGTCAAGTATGCGTGCAAAGGCGGATATGACCGACTGAGCGGAGACGCGCAGAGGAAGTGCCTGGGAAGTGGTCAAATGGAAGGCGAAGAACTCATCTGTGAAGGTAAGGGGCCGTCCATTAAATATCCCGAGGGAGGGTGGTTGTTCTTTTGAGGTAGAATATTTATAATTGTTCTCTAACAAGATGCCAAGTGTTTTTACTTGGACACATAACAAATTGCTTTTCAAAACTTCCAACATGTCCATTAAACGTTTGTATAACAAGACCAAAGGACAAATGTTTATTACAGCATTTACAGGAATAGAATAGGCATATAAATGTAGAAAAATGTTATATCGTGGCACGCCAGTATCCGCTAATAGATTCGTCCGATAATGATGATTGCGGGTTCCAATTCCAGATTCGTCCTTTTAGTGATTCCTAGTATTGTCGACATCACACCATACAAATCTTGAAGCATCATGGGCGTATTCACTCAATCTCATGTCGTCACAGTGTATGCACTACATGTAATCATTCTACATCAGCTGATGGAATTCCCACACTGGAGTCAGGAAACAATGTAATTCATAATGATACCATTTTAGACACATCAATGTCAGTAACGCCCAGTAACAACGTGGACCTGATAGCGCGTCCTACCGACGGCAGCAAGTATTGGAGCTACATGGGCGACAACGACCTGATGAGAATCAACAGAGATGGTGAGGTCGTGCAGTGGCAGTTCTTCTCGACCAGACAAGGGAGAGCACTGCTGCAGGTCTGGAGACCACGGTCTGATGCCGGAAGTCGAAAGTAAGTTTGCTGTTCATGCATTTGAATAAGTGGTGTAGACAATTTCCGCTTCATAACTATCTAATTTCGATTTAACTGAAATACATACATTGTATTATATATCCATTTTCACCCTCACGATTACCCTGAAGATCTGAGGTAGAATAGGTCTTCAGCAACCCATGCTTGTCGTAAGAGGCGACAAACTGTGTCAGTTGGTCAGGCTTGCTGACTTGGTTGATGCTTGTCATCGTATCCCAATTGCGTGCATCGTTGCTCTTGATTACAGTCACTAGATTGTCTGTCGATTATATACAGTCCGCCGTCATAAAGCTGGAGTATTGCTGAGTGGGACGGTAAACAACAAACAAATAAACCATCAGAATGGGTAAACGACGTTGAGTGAATCATTTTCGATTGTTCAGAGTGTTAGATTCAAAGTCACCATTTTATTATTGTCATACCGTTCTACATTATAGCTTCGTGTTTGAGTCCTTTAAAATGAATTGACACAACAACTAGTCGATAAATCCAATTACACTACATTTAAGTGTAAGTTACGGAGACGGTGATGGGGAACCTTCCAATGCGTATATTATTTTCAACAGTTCATTTGGGATGGTAACCACATCCAGCCTCAAGCACGTCATTACATAAATGCAAGAATCTTGAACGCCACGTCAAAGACTATTTCAGCTTACCTTCACCATTGAATCGTTCGACGATCTATCGTCCTTCTTCCAATCGACACGCCATACTGAACTAAGTAATGCTTAAGTCACTTGGAGCCAGTGCCAGGCGTCACACTGTGTATTTCATAGTTTTATAAAAGATATGTCATATATATATATGACCTAATGAACAAACGAAAAAATGCACATCCAAACTATCGTCAGCATCGACTCGATCTGTGTCTAGGCTGACAGTGACCGTCTCCAGTAATCTACGAATTTACCTTGGTGTCTGTTTGACGCATCTTTAATCACCTTTCAATAATCGGTCAGTTGATAAATGATGACTAACACATGTAACCGCCACAGGCTCGTTAACAACTTCTGAAATCCTCCCGTCACGTTTATCGCGTTGGCCATTTTGACGTCTTGTACTTGATGTAAATGTATTACGACGCGCTGTCATTGTGGCTGTCTTACTGAGGTAGTTCATTACAGACCTTTCTCATCTAATGGGGATATTATGTGAACACACGTGTTGCATAAGATGTTTCTGAAGAGCAAGTTCTGCATCCATACGCTCATGTCACCTCTCTTTTGGGGGAACTATTTTATTCCGTGATATAGCTGGTTGTCGTTTGACTGTCAGTGTAAACATGAAGTCACACGAACTAAAAAAAAACGTGTTTAGATCTTGGCTAACATTCTTTGAGGTAAGAAATTGTGATTGTGTCGCAAGCTCCGACGTTCATACAGTTTGTCCCTCACTCTATGAAGGTTCATACTCCAATGAAGTCACACAAAGTAAAGGTCAATTCTTAAATATATATATATATATATATATTGTTACCAACGAAAGTGCCAAAATGAAGCGTTGATGATACTTAATGAATGTGTTTTATTGCTGAGTGAATTAGTACTGTTCCAAAATAGATCCTCACTCCTCATGAACCAGGTTTAAATGATTAAATAACTATGCATATTTTTTTGGACCCTTTTTCGTATGTATTGCTAATACATGTATTGACAACAGGAGGTCTAAACATGCCATAATTAGTTGTTAATCCAGTCTACCCGTGAAAGGACAATAGTATAATGTTATGGAAATAAATAGGAGTCAGTGAGTCAAGTCCAGAGATTGTGAAAATATTTGAATGATTAGAAGCCTACATTGGTTGCATACTTGGCAGGATGCCTGTCTGTAGTTATTCGCCGAATGTACTGTTTCAGGATCAGACTAATTTCTGGTTATCTTTCGATTCAGTTTTGGTTTAACCGCCTACTTAACGTAATATATGTACGTATCTCCTGACCAGATTCGAGTTCATTGGCCACAACTTGGTGGACAGTAAGGTGACCGGACAGGTGGACACATTCGACGTCCCTGAGTATGAGCGTATCCAGGTGAAGAAGGGAGACCTGATCGGTATCTACTACTATGACCCTCCCCTAGGGATAGCCTTTACTATGTGCAGTGCCAGCAAGCATCCTGAGGCTTCACAGATATCCTGGATTAACACAAAGGTGGAGAATCCCTCTTACTTTGTTAGTGGGGAGATATACGACCAGGCGGTCAGGAAGATGTGTTTCATCATGTCCTTCAGAGCAATTGTCGGACCGGTAAGTATCTTACAGCACGTACCGTAGAGTGACAAACGCTGACATATACAGTTGCCATTATAAGCAGACCCGCCACTGGGGCAACCCGAGAGAGTGAGTGACAACAAAACATACCCAATTCGAAAATCCAAAAACGTTATTCAATTCGAACATGGACATTTTACAGAGTTCCCTTTACAAGCCAATTCTAATTAATGTTCTGTTTTTTGTCGTATTCATCTCTGAAGAAGGAACTGAAGTGATTATACCGTCTGTAGGTACTTCAGAAATTGGCTTCAAGAATCAAACAAGGACCTTCAGCATGATGAGCGAACGCTTTGGCCACCTGTTGGTTGAGTGAACATGGGAGTGAATGAGTGAGTGATGGAGTGAGAAGCGTTCTGCATAGCTTTTAGCAATACTCCAGAAGTATCATGTCAGGAGACACCAGAAACTGATTTACGACTTTTTTGACATATTTGAATCCATCCCGGGTCTTCAGGATGTTTTTCTTTTTTACGTACCAATAGTACACCACCGTGGAATTTGTTACACGTTATTCATGTCAGTAATTTATCAAACAACATCTTACGGTTATAGTACAATGAAAGGCAACATTTTCCACGATATCCTAAATACAAAGAGAATCAGTAAAAACAAGTTACTGTCGTGGGTGTCATTATATTACATGCAACGAGCAATGTCAGAAGGTAGGGAAAGAAGCAGCAGTTTGTGTGAAGGGCGCTACTGTCATATGCACATGGGTTTCAGAGGCCAGTTCATACAGTCAGTGACGAGTATGTCGTGATAATAACAATAATAACCCACTCACAAGGGAGAATCAATTAAGATCCGATGGATGAAATACGAGTATAACCATCAAATTATCACTCGTTATATCTGGACGAAATGTCGGCTACTACTTTCGGTTGTCTATATTCTGAAGGAGTTTCAATAATTGTACAATGACATCCCTTCAAATGGTCTTCATAAACAGGATTTGACATGCTGAGTGATTGCTTGATCATTGTTTGGAACCGAGCACCTGCTTGTGGAAGATGTTTACATGAACCTGTGAACGTTTATTCTTACATCTTCAGGAAAGGAAATACAAGTTGTACCCTACCAACTGGCTTCCACTTATAAGTCGAGGGAGTGTAGGACCGGGGCGGTATGTGTATTCAGGCATCAACGACAACTTCCGTATCCAGCACGGTGGCCAGATCATCCAGTGGAAGTTCTTCTCCAAATATGTCGGAGACCTCGCGCTGCAAGTGTGGCGGGAGGTGAAGACAAATCAGTGAGTCCTGTTGAATATATCATCCAATTCTACCAAGCTGTGTCTTGTTTTTTATACTTGAACAGCCAATGTTTGCTGCCTGAAAACTACAATACCATGTCTACATTCCTCGGTATATCTCCTTTCTCTCTGATGTGTGTTTCTACAACATGTTCCTTTCCTGCTTCATAACAACAGCTGCAAGTGCTTAAAGAGCCAAGGTCACTGAGGAATAACACGGTCTAAGTGGTTATTGGACTGATTGGATCGGATGGTCAGGCTCGCTGACACGGCTGACTGCATGTCGCTGTGGTCTGACGGCCTGGAACGGTTCACATCAATAGAGGATATTTCATGTGTCGAGACATGTGTTATGTGTAATTGCGACGATTTCCGTGTTTGCAAAATCTTCTAAAAAATATAAGCAAAAGTAATATAAAATATTTTAGGTTGTTAATACTCTATATCATACATTTTGATAAGATGATATATACAAAATCAACTTAGAAATATCCTTAAAAGATTCGAGACCACTGTTGCAAGTGAAGCTATGCACGCGGATCATATACAAAACATGGCGTTTTGCGAAACGAGCATTCACCTTAACGAGGTAAATGAGCAATTTATAGCTTATAACTAAACAGTTTTAACGAAACAAGTTTATAATGAAACAAAAGAATTAACAGCAAGAGGCGAAATTAACTCCATAAATGGAAATCTGTCAATATGGAACTTACCTAAAATAAGCCCACAGTTTATGTGCAGGCCAGACATTTAAGATAAAGGGAGACAATTTGCGGGAGGTAACTCTTGACAATAGTTCTGAAAAAGTGTTCTCTGAGCTGAAACATAAAGTGTTATGCTCACTTCGGTGAAATATCAAATCTTATGTTCACTGCAGTAATATATCAAGGGTTATATTCACTGCAGTGATTAAGCACTTTTCTTAACGTCAGAAAACTCAGTCGTTCACTCTTAAGTATACAATATTGTTACACCTCTATTTCGAATCAGACGTTAAAAGATGGTACTTGTTGTTACCCTGTCTGGCGCTCGGCATTAAGGGGCTAAAACATCGACTGGTCGGCTCGGAGTCGGTATACTTTGTCTGAGTGGGGTATTCATGTAAAACTGCGACATGGTGTCTCAGTGAGTTAGCTCTATAATTCGGAATCAGTCCAGACTAGAACACACACACAGACATACGTTCATGCACGTCGCTATATAAGTGCAATAATCTTGAACGCGACGTTTAACCCCATTTCACCTCACCTCACCTCACCTCACCTCACCTCACCTCACCTCACCTATTTCGAATCTTGCAATACCCTTGGTTAATCTGTACCACGTGACGAAACAATACATTTCATTGCAGACCTCCAAATCTTATTACCGAAAATGAACTCGAATATTGACTCGTCACATGATCAGTATTGAACTGTCACGTGATGAACATTGACTTGTCTGCTCGAAAACAAGATGGCGTCTGGCACAAACATTTTTTTATGAGTAAACTTTAAAAGTAAATTTTTTTTCGGTATAACAGAACGAATGATTACGCATGAAGGGGTAACTATTGAAGAGAAGTGCCCTCGGGCCCGATCCCTTTGTTGGTTGGACCGGACCTCAGACCACCTCAGGGGACGGGTCCTCGGTCCTTCGTTTGCAAAATGACCCCATCAAGTGTCATTATTTGTATAATATCAATCATTTGTGTGTTCATCATTTACACACCGTCGTCATATAGATGGAATATTGCCTACTGAGCCGTTTAACAAAACACAAACCCGCTCTCTTCTACTCCAGGTTCAGCCTTGTTGGGCAGAACATAGTAAAAACCATCGACAACGCGGTACAAGTGGTCAACGTCAGCGCCAGCGACCGCATCAGTGTGGAAGCTGGTCACCTGATAGGGTTTCACTACGGCAAGAACAAGGGCGGCCTCTGTTACACCTACTGCAACGGTCACAACAACCCAGAGGCTACGAACGTCAGCTGGATGGAACCTAGTATATCCAATTCTGCAGATATCACACCAGGTAAATGTAAATGGGCGAATGAAGTTTTTGTAAGGAGTATTCAATATATTTGACGAGAGAAGCAAAGTGACATTGAGTGAATCTAGGCCAAAGGTGTCCTCATCGATGAAAGATTAGCATATATCTGGGATTCAGGAAGAAACAGCTTCAGCTCCAATGATCCATTGAACTGCCACTGTCATCAGCCCCATCATTAAAATGTGTCGATTAGACTCAAACGTGGCATGTATTTAATGCAGTACATTTGTGTTTAAAGTTTTTTAAATGATCGAGATCAAGGACTTCTGAATGAAAAAATTGATATTATGACCAGATATTGAAATCAGTTTAAGATGTCAAGTTAACCAACAAGCAAGACAAAGAAATGTTTGCAATTACTGCGCCAATGTGTTACAGGGGGTTGGGTTACATGACCTATGTGTTAAACAGGGTAGGGCAACATGATCTATGTGTAACAAGCAATAGGGCAACATGGCCTATGTGTTACATGGGACTGGGTTACATGACCTATGTGTTACACAGGGTAGGGCAACATGACCTATGTGTTACATGTGGTTGGGTTACATGACTTCTGTGTTACACAGGGTAGGGCAACATGACCCGTGTGTCACATGGGGTTGGGTGACATGGCATATGTGTGACACGGGGTAGGGCAACATAACATGTGTTACAGGGGGTTGGGTTACATGACCAATGTGTTACAGGGGGCTGGGTGACATGACCTATGTGTTACAGAGGGTTGGGTTACATGACCTATGTGTTAAACAGGGTAGGGCAACATCACCCATGTGTCACATGGGGTTGGTTGACATGGCATATGTGTAACACGGGGTAGGGCAACATGACATGTGTTACAGGGGGTTGGGTGACATGACCTATGTGTTACAGAGGGTTGGGTGACATGACCTATGTGTTACAGAGGGTTGGGTTACATGACCTATGTGTTAAACAGGGTAGGGCAACATGACCTATGTGTCACATGGGGTTGGGTGACATGGCATATGTGTAACACGGGGTAGGGCAACATGACATGTGTTACAGGGGGTTGGGTGACATGACCTATGTGTTACAGAGGGTTGGGTGATATGGCCTATGTGTAACACGGGGTAGGGCAACATGACACGTGTTACAGAGGGTAGGGTTACATGGCCTATGTGTTACGCAGGTAATGAATTTATTTACTGTTTATTGTTACAGACATGGTGTTCACTTTCCAAAGGAAGACTTGTCGAATTTTTTCTCTCACTGCCTTCATCAAACCAGTAAGTATTATGTCCAGGTCGTGTCATTATACTCCAGTCATACATTCATGACTACAGAACCTCATGTCATTGTAGTCCACTCTTGATGTTTGTCATTCAGTCAAATATTATAATTATGTGTTACATCATATTTTGTCGTTTTTCCCTGGACATAGTCATATATCCTAGGTTATAGAATATTGGGTCATTGTAGACCAGTCATACATCCTAGGTTATGGAACCTTGGATCATTCGAGACCAGTCATATATCTTAGGTTATAGAACCTTGGGTCATTGTAGACCAGTCATATATCCTAGGTTATGGAACCTTGGATCATTGGAGACCAGTCATATATCCTAGGTTATGGAACCTTGGATCATTGTAGACCAGTCATATATCCTTGGTTATAGAACATTGGGTCATTGTAGACCAGTCATGTATCCTGGGTTATAGAACCTTGGATCATCATAGACCAGTCATATATCTTAGGTTATAGAACCCTGGGTCATTGTAGACCAGTCATATATCCTAGGTTATAGAACATTGGGTCATTATAAACCAGTGATATATCCTAAGTTATAGAACATTTGGTCATTATAGACCACTCATATACCCTAGGTTATAGAACCTTGGATCACTGTAGACAAAATTTCCAACTATGGTTATTGTTTACAGGTGGACTGATCTGACGATGCTTCCGACTGACTCTGTCTAGAAAGTTTAAAGAATAAACGAATCTGAAAGCACTTCCCTGTTACTGTGTTTTGTTGACCCACTGTGGTGATGATACGTAGTCTTGACCTGATGGATGTCCGTGAAGGAAGGGTTGTAAGGATGTTCTCTTCCCATGCTTCACGTTGCTGTCCATATGTCAGGACAGCGTGTCAGATAGAAGTGGGGGGAAATCACCAACTGATGCAAATCTTATAGTGAGTGAATCAGTGAGTATGGTTTAACGCTGCTTATAGCAATATTCTAGCGAGGGACACCAGAAATTGGCTTCAGACATTGTACCAATGTGGGGAGGGGAACACAGGCTACGGCGTGACGGATGGACGCTTTAACCGCTAGGCTACCCAACCGCCTGAGATTCTTAATTAAGACGTTTATAAGTTTGCTGAGGCCCACGAACATGACGATGAACCCATCATACACGTGTATGTCTCCCTCTTTTAAGACTGCAAATAGTCTTATTTCGAATTCAGAATACACATATATGATATTGGTTTGAAATTACATATGCATTAAATTTATATGCACACATTTCATTTGTTCATAATACATATGAGGACAAATAATATTGTGCCATGTAGTTGACAAACGATAAGTTTCCAGATGTGTTTCCTAAATGTTTTTTAACTCGTATCTGCAGTGGTTGTAACACTTGCTCTTCAGTGGTCATTGAGTATCGGCTCTGTTCGTCACATAGATATTTGGTGATACTCTACATAAATAAGGGCTGGCTCTGGATTGCCGTCTCTGAGGCCTTTTCTGTTTCACTCTTGGTCAAACAGCTTCTGAGCAAGAGTCGAGAGACGCTCTCTAAAATCTTGGTAGAAAGAACATGGTCCCTTGTGAAATGTGGACACCAAGGGCTGGAGCTGCAGGAATATTGCTCTTACCGGCATTCGTGATTTGACTGAAACATTTCCACCCCTCTATGTCAGCCATTCTGGAAAGATGAATTAGATTCCACGCCAGAAAGATTTTGTGCGGATGTGTCCTTCACTCAGGGGCTTATTTGTCAGCCATTGTATCAAACAGTTACATGATTGACACTCGACAGTGTATGCAAAACATAAGCAAGCCATCAGCCCCCTCGTGCGCAATAACTTGCTGACATTTTGTATACACAGTCCCGTATCGTCATGTAACCATAGCTCATTGCACGATATCAAATAATAGATAAACCCAAAACTTTAAGTTAAACTTCTTTGCCAAATTACCTGTTCTTGTTCTACCACTATGTATGCTGCTTGCACACTATCTGGACAGTTAAATAATACCATCACGTCCATGTGCAGAGGTTAGTCACTGTGCGGGACAGTAGATGTTAAGTGTTTGTTTGTTGTTTAACGCCGCACTCAGCAATATTTCAGCTATGTGACGGCGGTCTGTAAATAATGGAGGATGTTAATACCATCGGACAACTGAACGCGAAACTAAATCACTTAAGCATCAGTACAATGAGAAAATAGAATCAACAAGCTTTCAATTTGTTCATGAAATATTTCATCTGTTGTTCTAAAGAAAGTGTAACAGTACAAAGAACAAGCCATAATAAAATGGGTTTATCTTCTAGCCACGAGTAGAACAAAGCGACAGAAAGGAACATCTTCACAAAGCAGACCATTATACGAATTCGACTATGTCATGAGCCTATGTTTACAAATTTCTTACTTAAAATACATACATTCCTTTGAAGGAAATGCACACAGTCACAAAGGAACTTTGTAGAGAAGGACAGCCTAGTACATATTTTGTTGAAACCACTGTGTGTAAGTAAGTTTATTAATATGTTTCAGGGATAACGCAGCAATATTTCTAGTTGTGTGATGTAAATAATCGCACCTGAACCAGACCAACCAGTGACTGATATTATGAGCAACATGTCGATGAACCTGACAAACTGATACATTTGGCACACTTCATATTTGGCAAGTGCATTATACACACCCTATATATATTAGACTGGTGAGTTCGAAACCAAGGTTCGCTACACTCATGATCGTGGATCTGTCAGCACCATCCTATGCCTGTGACCTTCTCCCTACACTGTGGGGAGACCCCAATATTAAGCAGGATTGTGTCAATGTACTCCAGTCATATATTCATGATTACAGAACCTCATGTCATTGTAGTCCAGTCTTGATGTTTGTCTTCAAGTCATATATTCTAATTATGTGTTACATCATGCTTTGTCGCTTTCCCTGGACATAGTCATAAACTGCAATATTTTGATATTAATGCAATGCCCTGATAAAATTATTTGATTGCGTTACATGTCGATTCTTTAATTGAAACACTGGATTTATCTAGTTTATCGATCCCTTGATTGTCTGGTTTGTTTACAGGCTGACATCGCATGGCAGGAGCACTGCTGTGCTGCGTCAGGCAATAAATATTTACTTTTATTTCTTAGTTGTATGAATGGCGGGTGCTACCGGTACGGCGGAACATGCTTACCCTTTTCTCAAACACATGGTGTCATCTCTGATTTTCAGTGTTCCATTTACATAATTTCCACAGCTATTGCCCCTTTACGTCAAGTGTTTCGGCAGAAAATCTAGGCTGGTCATTCTTTTGCATTGACAATTTATATTAAACCACATCATCAACCACAATGGACATCTTAAATGCCTCATTGCTCGTGTCACCATAGCCAGCTCTTTGTCATTACACCAAGCCCAATCACTACACTTTCAACGTACCCTATTGGCTTCTCTAATGACAATCTCACCGGCGATGTCAATATATTGCTTGGACATTTGCCCTACCTTGTGTTATTTAAACATATCATCATGATAGACATTGTCATCCCATGGAAGCAATAAGATCCCGATTTGTGGCCAGGGGAATGCTCACCTACTCTGCCTGCAGCGTTTGTGGCAACAGTAGGAGGTTATATGGCTCGCAATCATTACTTTCCATTAATGTTCGCCTGGGTTTCAAATCTGGAGAAGCGGAGGGCCATGGCAGGACCTGGATGTTGTAATTCTTAAAATAAGCTGTTGCCAGTCTTGCCGTGTGTATTCGGGCGTTGTGGCAGGCGAGCTTTGTGAGCTTTTTTGAATGCTTCCTCAGATAGCATGGTTAGCTTACTACATGCCAGAAAGTAAAAAAAAACTATATATAAAGTCAAATATATAGTCAGTGTGTGATGGAAAGAAATAGTAACAAATCAAATTATGGCAGTATAAATCTGTTGAAATACAAGATAGAAAAATGTCAAGATAGCGACAAAACCCTTTTTAAATCCAATAGAAATATCTGCATAAAGCAACATTGTATGATTTCAACTATATCATTGTAATAAGTGAGCAATGTGGGACTTTAATAAATGTTATGTGTATTGTCTCCAACAATCTGAACTTAATTATGTGAGGGTGGAGAGGGAGAAGAGTGTTTTGGTTTTTTTGCCAGCCCTTCCCGTTTTTCTCTGGATGTTATGGTTGCAGAATAAACTGCATTTCGTTGAGACTGCAGTGTTGACTAATCCTTGTCGCAGCATTTCACAAATTGTTCTTAGTATACATTTGATGGCAATTAATCTCCTTTTTGACACATTATCCTGATCGTTTGAAGACAGAGATGTAATGACAGCTATCGCTTTCACGTTTACTGACAAATTTCACATGGATCAAGGAATACCATTTTCCCTTAACAACTCGTTGACGACACAACAAACTGCAGGCTCTTGCAGCAGCTGTGTCCATGTACTATGAATACGATGTTTAAAACTTTTCAACCAAACACCAGATGGCAGTGCTCGTTTTGAAAGTTAACTGACATAAACGACACTCTATTATCTAGTTTATGGTAAAGAAATCATACGTTCTTTCGTTTGTATGGAAAACGACATTTTTCCTGACAAATTATAACAGCATTGAAAATGTGTGAATAATCCTCGGAAAACTGTAATCTTATGTTATCAATGTGTAGTATTTTTGGAATTACGGATACGCAAAGACAGAAACGTGACTCATTAATATTCCGCAACATGTGCTACCTGAACATGGAGTAGCCTGACTGCTGTCTTCTAACGTTCACTGTTTGCTTGGAGGATACACTCGTGTAATGTGTGCTGGAGGCTCAATCACAGGTGAGGGCAGTTGGCCTGGACAATGAAGGAGATCAGCAAGAAGCTGACCACTGACCTGAACCTGGAGGAAGTAACGCCGCTGGACTATCCCACTGATGACGTCACGGCAATTCAGATCACAAAGAGTGTTGAAAAGCATGTGAGGATGTGGACACACAGCCCCCCTCGGATGGGGGTTTGGGTATTTTTGTCGGTGCAAGGTTTGTGGCTGTGTTTATAACTTTTAGTATCGTCTACAGCATTTGGAGTGATCTATGTGGAACTGGTGGATGTGTTCAACGCTACCAGAGCAGAGGTGGCCTGGGTGGGGTCGATCGCAAGTGGAGCTATGCATATGGCAGGTAGGAACGAGGGGGTGGGGAACGGGTTGATGATGAGGGGGTGGGGGTTGAATGGGGTGGGGTAAATGGTGGTGGTTTGTGAGCGGGGGCTGTCGTAAGTTCAGCTTTAGTCATGGAAGGTAGGAATGATTTTGGATTGGGGAAGGGGTTGATGATTAGGGTAAGGGCTGGATGGGTGGGTTTTTCGGATGGAGTTAATGGTTAATGGGGGACGGGAACGCCGGGAGTTCTGCTGTGTATAATTCAGGTAGCAACGAGCAGTTAAGGTGGTAGGGATCGGTTGATGATGATTGATGGGGGTTGGTGTGGGCTGATGTGGTGGGGGGGGGGGGGGGGGGGGGGGGGGGGGGGGGGGGGAGGGGGGGGGAGGGGGGGGGATGGGAGGGGGTAGGTGTTGATGATGATGGATCGTAGGTAGAGGTTGGGGTGGGGTGGCGGTTGATTGTGAAGGATGGGGAGGGTGATGGCTTGGGGTGGTGGTTAATTGTGAGGTGTCGGGTACTGTTGATTGTGAGGGTTGGGATTGGGTGGGGTTAGGGATGGGGTTGTGTTAAAGGGGAGGTGTGGGGAGGTGTTGATGGTG